TTACTTACACTGTAAAAAATGTTTTGATTTTGGTCTTTTTGTGGCTAGGGGAAAATGCATGCACCCCAAAATTACTGAAATATTGTAAATGGAGCCATAGCAGTGTTTACGTAGGGTCAGTTCCTTACCTTGCTAATAATTGCCCACAAATATTTTGATAGTCCTTTCACATGTGTTTGTAAATGAAATTCTGTAAATAGATTTCTCTGGTTAAAGCCTGTTTGAAGTCCTGGTGTTGGATTTGCTTCATTGCACAGCTTCTGTGATTAGAAAGAGTATTGCATTTTTTCATAAATGCTGTATGTATTTTTATTCCTTAATTAAATTATAGCAATACATTATTGGCCCTGGCAAAGCAGAGTAAAGCTCTTGGTGCATATAAATTGGCTCGTCATGCCTATGACAAGCTGCAGGGACTGCAGATCCCAGACAGGTTCCAGAAATCTGTTGAGCTGGGCAGCCTGACAATCCGATCCAAGCCATTCCATGACAGTGAAGTAAGCTGTAATGTGTTTCATGTTAATCATTAATATGTGGTCTAATCGTAGAATATGAGTTCCTGTGTGCACAAAACAATCTGAAATATATTATGCATGGCTCTGTGATATAATTATATTTCTGCTGGAAACACAGTCCTTTTATTGTTATTCTTCAAGTCAGACTTCCTTCTGCTCCTGAGAGCAAATTAAAATCAGCCCTCTCTTTGTGGGCAGCTTCCATCCTCCCTCTCCTCTCTTGCAGTCACCTTCCTCACTGCCTATTAATTCTTCCAAGCCCTTTTCTCCCCAGTTCACATGCTATTGTTCCACAGCCTTTGTCTCTCTCTCCAGCTGGAGGTCACTTTCATTTGTCCCACTCCTAACACTCTTCCCCTCCTCCCTCCATCCCTTCAGTGACCTTCCTTCCGTAAATCTTACTTTAACACCTTTTCTTCTTTCACTGAAGTCTGGCTTTCTGCAGTTTTCTATAAAGCCATGTCTCAGATAGTACTCACTAAAAATAAATTGCATTGTACCAGTGAACATACACCTGGCCTCCTGAAATAATAGAAACACACCCTTTAAGAACTGCCTAAAATAACTTGGCTCTTGAAAAGAGATTAATTAATTGGAGAACCTAAATTTGATCAAATCTTAGAGCAAAAAACTTTGCTTCAGTAAACTTCTCTTCAGCTTCTTTTGTTCCTGTGTATTTGATGCAGGATTCTGCTTCTGTTACTGCAGAGGCAAGGTGGAAATTTAATTGTTAAAGTGGTGAAGACAGCTATTTTTAATGGGAAAACTTGCTGTTTGTTAAAAAGGGAAAGCATTTTCAGATTTTGAAGGGTCTGATTTCACAGCAGTGCTTCTTCAGACTGGTGCTGGTGTTGTTTCGGTGTTGTCAGCTGGAGGGACCCTTTTTTAATTGAAAACAAAGAGCTGAGGATGTGCCGGTCTGTGGTTACCGTGCTCTCAATCTGTCTTTTCAGGAGCTCGTGCCCCTGTGTTACAGGTGCTCCACCAACAACCCCTTGCTGAATAACCTGGGGAACGTCTGCATCAACTGCAGGCAGCCTTTTGTCTTCTCGGCCTCCTCCTACGGTGCGTTGGGACGTCGGGTTTGCTCGTGCTTTGCAAGTAGATAAATGTTAATAGACTAGGTCAGTGCTCATTTCTTCTTTCTGCAGCGCTGTTTGGCCAAACAAATGTTCCTTTACTGTTGTTAAGTTTGACCAAGCGGGGGTTGTTGGCTTTCACTGCAGAGTAGCAGCACAGCATTGTTGTGTTGCCAGATGCTGAAAAGCCTCTAGTGTTCTGTGGAAGTGAACACAACCCTTTCAGAAGTTCGGGGGGTTTGGTTTATTTCAAGTTTTATTTTATTTAACTTGTTTCTTGGGAGAAGGTGGGCAGAACACCACTAACATGAAGGAGCACAGTATCTGCTATGAGGCATTTCCTGAGTTCCTGCAGGTCAAACACTTCCTGCCTTTCCCACCTTTTAGAGGTGCTGCATCTGGTGGAGTTCTATTTGGAAGATGGCATCACGGATGAAGAAGCTGTAGCTCTCATTGATCTCGAAGCTCCAAGAGTGAGTAAAAGAGAGGATAAATGGCAAGAGATGATGACTGACCGTATCCTTTTGATTAGAATTGGTTTCCTTTTCTTAGGGAATAATTAAACAGTTTAGAGTTTATTTTTCCCTTAGGTTTAAACCTTTCTGTCATATGACTGATGTAAGTACAATTGCATCTTGTTTCTTTGTCGTGAGTATAACAACAAACATATGGATCAACTAAACCTAATATTGTCAAGATGCTTTTCCATCAGGACAGTTTATTTATAATCCTGGCAATGTTTGTTTTTAACAGTGGAATGCCATGCTTTACCTATTCTGTGTGAACTGCTTTCTGACAAGGATGAAGGGAATATGGAGTGTGTTGATTCCCATAACAGCTTCTTTTAGAGGCTACCTTCTCCTAAGCCAAGGGAAGTAGCACTTCACAACTGTTCCTGTTGAGATTTGTTTGGATTTGTTTGGAATTCTTTGGCATCCAGAGCTCCCAGTTGCTGTTGGGGTTATAGAATATGAGATGTAGAGTAATGCACAACACACAAACTCTGACTAAAGCTGCCCAAAATTGTAATTTCAATAGATTGCTTCCTTTGCTCTGTCATCTGTGGAAGGGTAAGAGCTGATGTCATGCCTGGCTGTGGTCAGTCTGTTCTGGCTGTTCTACAGCAGCTGCAGTGATAAACTTCCCCAGTCACTGGAAATCCCAGCAAGGCCTTCTTGGTATTTTTTGTAATGAGCTGAGGACTGTCACAGTTTGAGATACTCTGAAGCAGCTAGAGTCCTGCTGGGGTGCTCTCATACTGATTCCATCAGTGCTGGCTATGGTAAGCAGAATCAGTTTTACAGGAATTCTTGTCCTTCCTTAAGACATGCAACCAGATGCTCAGAGTTTGAGGCTTGATGACAGGACAGATACTGTTGAGGATAATGATCCCTTTACAGCAAAACTCAGCTTTGAGGTAAGAACTGTACCTATGTCTACCAATAGAAAATTTTTAATAGAAAAAAAAATTTTAGTAGAAAATTTTACTTTACAAAGTCACACTTCTGGTGTGTATGTGGTACAAAGAGAGCTGCAGAGCAGGGGACTGGGCAGGGCTGTCACTTGAGAGGGAAATGGACTAAACGAGTTAACTCCTCCCTTAAGAACACAACCAAAATCCCTCAAAGCAAGGAAACAAACCAGTAAAACCCACACAGACCTCTCTCAAACAAACAGACAAACACAAACCTCACAAAACAACGATTTAAAACCAAACACTCCTGAAATTTTGTTTCCTCACGGTGCACTTGTATAGCAGCAGCACACCTGTAGGGCAGGCCTTGCTGCAGGGTTTCATAGAGACTGTGAGCGTGGCTGTTATTTGCCACGTTTATTTATAAGGAGTTAAAGAGATAAGGGAAGCTGACTGGAAACAGATGTGGCTGGATGCTGCTGTTGCTGGAGGTTTTGATAAAACTGACAGGGAGCTTGGTGCATTAGCTTCTTCTACTGAATTTTACTTGGCTCCTTCTAACAGCTTGGGAAGCCGAGAGGGCGGCGGGTTGCAGTGGGTAACAGCAGTCCTTGCTCTGTGCAGCAGGGAGGCTCCGAGTTCGTGCCGGTGGTGGTGAGCCGCGCCGTGCTGCGCTCCATGAGCCGCCGGGACGTGCTGGTCAAGCGCTGGCCGCGGCCGCTGCGCTGGCAGTACTACCGCTCGCTGCTGCCCGACGCCTCCATCACCATGTGCCCCTCCTGCTTCCAGGTACTGCTTCACGGAGAGCTTTGCACAGGAACACAAAACCCCAGCCAGACCTGATGGGTGAAACAGTGCTAACCACTGAAACCTCATACTCTTAAAAGTACTCTGCAAATTCTGGAATGAGGTAGAGGCAGAGCAGTGAAAGCCCAGCTCTGAGCTGAGTGATAGACAGGGGAACAGCTGCCTTGGGAGACTTGGCCACAGCTGAATTTGAGAAGTTGCCCTGACAGCAAGTCAGAGCCTCTTGAGCAAGCCTTGGCTGACCAACAGAAGCTGATTTGTATTTATTTCCTTTTGCTCTGTCTCTCTGACTTGCGGCCTAGTCTAGCAATGAAAACCAGTGACTTGTGGTTCAGTCCTGCTCCTGCCTTGCTCAGAAATGACTTTTTGAACTGTTGGAATTCAGCCATGTTTGCTTACTCAACTGCCTAATTGTCCATCCTTTTGCAGAAGTAGTTAGCAGGTTTGTGCCTTCTCAGCAGCCTTGGCAGAGGTCTGTGAAGTGCTTGCTGCTGTGTTCCAGGCTGTAGCTCTCAGGTGATTGAAACCAAGAGGACCAGTTCTCTGTGTTGGTAGTTCCAGAATATCTGTGCTATTGAGCAGCCATTGAACTCAGGTTGCATTTTCTTTGGTCAGGGTACAGGCTAACTTGTTTTAAATCTGTTCCTAATTAACAGATGTTTCACACAGAAGACTATGAGCTCCTCATACTCCAGCATAATTGTTGTCCATTCTGTCGGCGGAAAGTAGATGAGTCAAACCAATGAAGAAAACCAGTCTTTTACCTCAACAACAGACTCCCCTGTTGGCTTGGCAAAACCCTTCTTAGATCTCTAGAGCCTTCCTAATAACTTAGTTATCTTGTCTCATTTTGTATGTAAGAGTGGAACCAAGTTGAAGAATTGTAACTATTTTTTTAAATTAAAATGTCTGGTTTTTGTGAATGTGCTCTGCATTTTCCAGGCAAACAGCGGAAGTGCCACAGAATTTTATAGGAACATTTCTAGAATCAAGTTCAGCCTTCAAGTAATTGGTTTTACTCCAGATTGTGCTCCTTAACATACACCAGTTATTGACATATTTTCAAATAAATGGGACTATTTTTCACTATTTATTGTCTCATAATTTGCTATAATACTCATGCTTCTGATCGGGATTTTCTTTTTCCTTTCTATTCCATTTAGGCAAGAACAGCATTTAGAGTTCCACTACTCTTGGCACTGGCGGCATCTCAGAGCCACCTTGGGGCAGGTGGTGGATGAATCTGTGTGGAGTTCACCTGGGTGAAGTGCATCATGTGAGGCTGTGCACACCTGAGCTCCGTGCTGCTGCCATGGAGGGCTGTGCCAAGGGATGCTGAGCAGGGTGTCCCCAGCATCGTGTCAGTCCTGGGCCAAGCGTGAGCTCTGTGAGCACGTGGCAGGAGGCAGACCCGCTGCTCTCTGCTGCAGCCTCTTCTGGAGGCACGAGACATGGGGGCAGCAGTCCCAGGCAGCACCTGAGCCCCTACAATGGCTCACTCTCCCTGCAGGACTGGGCAGGAAGTAGGAGAGCAAAGGCCAAGAAACTCCTGTGTTGAGATAAAGACAGTTTGATAGCTGCAGCACAGCTCTGCATGCAAGCAAAGCAAAGCAAGAAGGCATTTATTCCCTGCTTCCTGGAGAGCAGGGCTCAGCGTGAGTAACTGTCACTTGGGAAGGCAAACACCAAACACAATCCTCCCTTCCTCCCCCTTTCCCTGAGCTTTTATTTTGGAGCACAACATCATCTGGAGTGGCACAGCCCTTTGGCCAGCTGTCCCAGGTCTGTCCCTCTGTTCCCAGCCCTGCTCTGGCCTGTGGCTGAGGGCCAGGGCGGGCGGAATGGAGCCCGCAGTGCTCCGGCCCAGCTGCACAGCGGTGTCTTCCCAGTGCTGGGTTAGACACCAGCACTCAGCACCCCTCATTGCTGGGCGGGAGGTGACTCTGTGCCCGTGACACCGGCGTGCCCCCGGGCAGGAGACGCCAGCACTCAGCACCCCTTGCTGCTGGCAGGGAGGTGACTCTGTGCCCGTGACACCGGCGTGCCCCTGGCAGGGACTCTCACAGGATGGCCAGGGTCATTCCCTGCTGCAGGAAGATTCACAGGTTACCTACCTGAATCAGGGTCGTTCCCAGCTTGGCTGGAGCTGGGAAGTGGTGCGTCTCTTGACTTCAGTCTGGTATAAGCTGTGCCCGTGTTGCCACGAGTTCTGTTGTGATGGCAGCCTGTCTGTCCCAGCCTGCCTCTACCCTGAGTGGGAAAGGACACGAGCAACTGGCTGAGGTGGTCGGTGCTGGCAGGGCAGCTCCCATGGGAGCAGCACTTTGCACGTGAAACGGGATGTCTGCTCGAGTTCCTCTGGAAAAGGAGACTCTGAAATCACACAATCGAGTTTCTGAGTCCCTCAGTGGTTCCTGACCAAGTTTGCTTGATTTACCACTTTAAAAACATTCTGTTCTAATTACAGCTCGTCTGCTTTCTGACTCAGCTGTCACTGTTTGCAGTGAAGACTCTGCTGTTGACATGGGTAAACAATGCTGTTTGAGACGGGAGCCAGGGTGGGATTCAGCTCCTTCTGGAACTGAGCTGGCTGTGTAGAGCCAGTGGGAATGAAAAATTATAAAACTTAAGAGAAAGGGTTTGCTGTGACACAAAGACAAAATGGACCAAGACAAAATGGACCAATGTTTTTTTTAAACAACTCTGTGAATATAGTCTAGCTTTGAAAAGCATTTTGGGCTTTTCTGGGCTTTTCTGCATGTCTCATACGTACATGATGAAAGTGTTCTAGTCCAGGCTGCCCTGTGCCGTGGAGCCCACCAGCTGGGTTCATGCTGAGGAGTCCCTGGAGGTGCAAGAGGTCCCAGCACGGCACTTTGGTTGGGAGTTGTGAGCAATTTGCCCTGTTCCTCTATCTCTCAGCTGCCTGCCTGTCCCACTGCTGCATCCAGTGGTGACGCACGCCAGCCCTAAGCTCTGCACAGCAGCTGCTACCTCAGCAGTGGCTTATTGCATCAGCTTAAAGTGTTTTAGGAAATAAACCTTTAATCCCTGTGTGCCCAGGTACAAGTGTAAAGAGCTGCATTTGCAGTTAGAAAGTGGCACTGCTCTGGCCTTGGAAACAAGTGTGAGAAATTAATTGAGAGGGATTTAGGGTGAACAGAGTGTGTGTGAGGACCTGGTGTTTTCATGTTAAGGTGAAGGAAGAGCTTTGGGACTGTCCAGAGACTGTGGCCTGCATTGGGTGTCCAGCAGGGTCTGCCCTAGTCCATGGTGCCAGCACTTCAGCTCCTTCCACCTTCCCCACTTAGAGGGCAGGTTTCCCAGCTTGGTCTCTGCTCTAAGGAGACTACAGTGCTTTGTTCCATTAAACTTATTTCTGAACTAACTTACAAGGAACATTGGTGAAAACTAGGCTAGAAGTGGAGGAAGTTTTTTAAGGCCAAGAGGACATGAACTTCTGCCTACCTTACAGCCATGAGCTTCAGCAGCTCTGGTACATCCTCCTGTACTGGATGAGGCCCTCGTGTTCACCTGCTCCTGGCTGTGAGGAGCGCTCAGCTCAGCCCTCAATGCAGCCAAAACAGCAAGGGGAGGTGGGTGCTCAGCTCCCTTCCAGCCGCCATCACCTACAAAGGGGCAGAGCAGAGTCTCTCTTTGTGCTCACCTCTTCTATGTATTGTCCCACTGCCTCTGAAAAATTAAGACGATAACTCAGCTGTGTAACTCAGCTTCTGGTTGGCACAAGCAATGTTTCAAGCACAACTGAGTGCACAGAGTGGTGAGTCAGAGAGACATAGAGGGCACAGAAGGCTCCAACAATAGCCTTGCCTGTGGAGTTTGATAATTACACAAGGTTTGAGGAGACTGAGGTTGTCTGTCAACCAGTATATGAAGCTGAGTGCTGGCTTCAGCTCTGAATGTCCCATCAGTGCCCTGGTCCAGCAGCCTTCTCAGCGCCATTGCAGAATGATTCCAGTCCAGGACAGATGGACCAGGTTATTTATTAGCTGTTACCAATGGAGTTGGCATGACCCAATCAGATACAAAGGCACAGAGAAGATGTCACAAGTGGTAACCTGCAAGTAGGCCAGGTGTTTCATGGGGCTCGTCAAACCTCCAGAGCCAGATCCTGAGTAGAGGTGGCTGGAGCTTGTGGGAGAAGGTTTGGTCATGCTGCCTTCTGCAGCCTCCCACAGGGACTGGCAGTATGTGGGGATGGCTCTCCAGTGGGGACTGGCTGGTCTCACAGATCCGCATTCCCCTTGTGAGAATGGGACAGGGACACTCCCCTGTCACTGAGGGACCACACCATGCTTGCCCAGCCAGGCCACCATTTGCAGCCCCCAAACCCACAGTCCTGGAGTTTGAACCACACATGTTCCTCCTGTTAGTGGGGAAGGGAAAGGAAGAGCGAAGCTGTGCAAATGAATGGTGCGGTGCAGAGCTACCACTTTATATATGTGACCATGAGCTGTGGTCTCCAACAGTGACAGCGTTGGCCAGAAACTGGTGTCACCTTAACACCTTCCCAGGAAAGCCAATTAGCCTGGGATGATTATGATTAATAATTCTCTAAACCCTAATCGTGCTGACACCAGTGCCAGGAGCTTACCCCAGGGGCGCTTTATAAGAGGTGCCCTGTGGGGAAGAGTCTAACTGGTTCTCCTTGGGGTAACAGTGAAGGCTGAGAGGTGGCAGGAGCTCCATTTCAGGGGAAATTTTCCCCTTGCACAAAAGAACTCCCAGATTAAGAGCAAAAAGCACCTCACAAACTGCAACCATGAACGGGACAGAAGGCCAAGACTTCTACGTGCCCATGTCCAACAAGACCGGGGTGGTGCGGAGCCCCTTTGAGTACCCCCAGTATTACCTGGCTGAGCCTTGGAAGTTCTCAGCGCTGGCTGCCTACATGTTCATGCTGATTCTGCTCGGCTTCCCCATCAACTTCCTCACGCTGTACGTCACCATCCAGCACAAGAAGCTCCGGACACCTCTAAACTACATCCTTCTGAACCTGGCTGTCGCCGACCTCTTCATGGTATTCGGAGGTTTCACCACCACTATGTACACCTCCATGAATGGGTACTTTGTCTTTGGAGTAACAGGGTGCTACATTGAAGGCTTCTTTGCCACACTGGGCGGTAAGTTTTCCAAATATTCAAATGTCTTCTGTCAGGAATTTCCCTGGATTTTAGTAGTGGGAGGGAAAACACAGATGATCTTGGAAAAATATGGTACCTGTAACATCCTTGACCTGCTGATGTGCTGATGTGGATTGAGGCCATTTGCCCTGTTTCTGGGTAGGAGCTGAAGAAAGTGACAAGTGACACTTTAAAAAAAAACCACTTTATTTTGAGAGCCACCTGCTCAGTATCCTGAGAACCACAATGCAGCAATGAAAAGCAGCCAATATCAGATTTTGCAGTTGTTGGATTTGTGCATCTCCTCGGCTCACTTTCTGACTCGAGAGATGACAATTTTGTTCCTCCTATTTTGCAGGGCTGAATCTGCCATTGGCTGTGGTGTGGTGCATGTTGTTACAGGCAAGCACAGCTGGCTCTCCTCCCCATGCCAGCCTGGTATGGAACCAAAGAGATGTTAAACAGAAATTGTGTGTCTAAAAATGTCCTCCTCCATTTGTCTCAGCCTTCAGCCACAGCTACTGTTTTACTGGTTTGGTCCTTGTGGCACAAGTTTCCTGGGAAGCTGAGGGTACTGAGAGGAAGTCCTGGGCTCATGGGCGCTTGCTGCATTTCAGAGTGTGACTGCAGGCTTGCAGGTGCAGATGCTGTCTGGGATGAATGGTGGGATCAGCCATGAATCTCGAAACACTGCAGTAAAGTGGTTCCTGTGGGTCAGCAGTACAGAGAGAAGGGGTCTTCTCACACTGTCCTACTACATCTGGCCTTGACCATTCTTCATTTATCTTTCTGAACTCTTGGCAGAGATTAAGCTTTTGCCAGAGGTCCTCAGGAACATCAGTCTGAGGAGGCCTCATGCTGCCATCAGGGTGGTTTCTTTTCCTGCTCAAAGTCCCCGTGTTCCTTTCTGTCCCTCTTCCTGGTGCAGGTGAAATTGCTCTCTGGTCACTGGTGGTCCTGGCTATCGAAAGATACGTAGTGGTCTGCAAGCCCATGAGCAACTTCCGCTTCGGGGAGAACCATGCCATCATGGGTGTTGCCTTCTCCTGGATCATGGCCTTGGCGTGTGCAGCTCCCCCACTTTTTGGCTGGTCCAGGTAGGGAGGGCAACAGACCCAGTGTCAGGGGTATGGCAGCCTGGCTGGTGGCTCAACTGTGGCTTCCAGCCAGTCTCCTCTGCTGGGTGCTGACCTGCTGGGCTCACCTTGCAGGTACATCCCCGAGGGCATGCAATGTTCGTGCGGGATTGACTACTACACTCTGAAGCCAGAGGTCAACAACGAATCTTTTGTCATCTACATGTTTGTGGTTCACTTCATGATCCCGCTGTCGATCATTTTCTTCTGCTATGGGAACCTGGTTTGCACTGTCAAGGAGGTGGGTACCCATCAGATGAATGGCCAGTAGGGCTACCCCTGTTCCCAGTACTGGGAAGGGGCCCACACCAGGTTCAAGAATGGTGCCAGGGAGGGTCCTCCAGGGGCCAGCCTGGCCATCCATGACAAGGGAAATAGCAAACTCCAGATGTGCAGCTTGACTGCTGAGAGCCCTGACCCTGTGTCCCTGCTGGTGCAGCACCCACTGGCTCCATCGTATTTCCGTTCCTTTCTGCCTGCAGGCTGCCGCCCAGCAGCAGGAGTCTGCCACCACCCAGAAGGCAGAGAAAGAAGTGACTCGCATGGTCATCATCATGGTCATCGCCTTCCTGATCTGCTGGGTCCCCTATGCCAGCGTTGCGTTCTACATCTTCACCAACCAGGGCTCAGACTTTGGGCCCATCTTCATGACCATCCCGGCGTTCTTTGCCAAGAGCTCAGCCATCTACAACCCTGTCATCTACATCGTAATGAACAAACAGGTAACTTGCAGGGTGCCAGGAAACCCCTCTTTTGTGTTTCTCTTTTTAACAGCTGGCAGAGAGTTACAGCGTCTCAGGGTGCCATTGGTCTGGAGCAGGGATTGTTTCCAGGAGTTCTAGTCCTGGCACATGGGGCTGTGCAGCTCATCCTTGGTGTTTCATAAAGCTCACAAATGCAGGGCCATTCCACCTGAAATAATGCAGGTGCCAGGTTGATGGAGGAGTCATGATGGGAGCAGGCAGGGCTGGCAGTAGATGGGGTGGGCAGCAGACAGTGGGGCAGGAGACTCCACATAGGCATAGTTCTTCCTGCACCACAGTACTGCTGGGCTTCAAGACAGCTCTGCAGCTAGAGCTGCATGGTGGCTCACCCTGGACTTCCCTCTCTCCCAGTTCCGTAACTGCATGATCACAACCCTCTGCTGCGGCAAGAACCCACTGGGTGACGAGGACACATCTGCTGGCAAGACAGAGACCTCCTCCGTTTCCACCAGCCAGGTCTCTCCTGCATAGGCCCCCTGGGAGCAGCAGTCCCTGGGTGCTGCCCTGGCAGCACAAACTTAACCCCACCGCCACCACCACCTGCCCCTGCTTCACCATGGCCAAGGCCCTGTGGGGCGGCTCCTCGCTCCTGGCTCTAGGAACCCTGGGAACAAGGCTGAAAATGTGTACACATGTTTTGTAATTTAAAATGCAAAGGCTTAGCTCATCTGGCATAAATCCATGCATTTCTGTTGACTTGCTGAGACCTCGTGCCCCTTCTCTGAGTGCAGACTGGGTTGGAGAGCTCTGCCATCCTGGGCCATGGCAGAGCTGTCCTTGCCTCCCTCAAACCACCCTGACGCCCCAGCCGGGGACCAGGGCATGTTCTGCATCTGCTGCTGCTGGGGCCAGAGCTGGGGCCAGAGCTGGGGCCACTTTCTGGTCCTTTTGTCAGAGATGGATCCTAGCCAGTGCTGCCAGTCGCTCAGCCCCATCACACTCTCTGCCCAGAGCACGTTTGGCTGCTGCAAAGTGCCCTGGCTCTGGCCCTGTCCCATCTGCCAGAAGTCCTGGGAGACACCATGATTCCTGCAGGGGGATGGGACAGATAGCGGTGCTGGGTCCTGCCTGGCGGGCAGCTGGCACGGAGGGCCATGCCAGCACGGCACAGCCGTGTGCGGCCGCAGCTCTCCGGGACAGCTCTGTGCTCAGTCCTCCAGCGCTGGTGCAGCAGCACATGAATGGTGTTTGCACCCTCAGCAGCAACTCTGCTCCATGTTCCCCAGCACCCCTTCCCCACACTCCTACCTCTCTTTCTTAGGCATCTTTGGACCCCTAGGGCCAAGCCCCCAGCAAGGTTGCCTGTGCCCCTCCCCATTTTGGCTGTGGTCAGTTTGGCCTCGGCCCAACAGGAGGTTTTGGGCAGCTCTGGTGCTCTGAGGCCTGCGGGGCCAGGGCTGATCTCCCTCCACGCCGCAGCAGGCAGGACCCAGCAGCATATGGCTCAGCGATGCCGACATATGTTCGAAGCACTACAAGATGGCTTATTGCAATTGTAGCCGTGTTCTTCATTTTTATTTTTAGTTCAGTTATACAAATAAGATGTTTTTCTCACTGTTTGGTGTTATCAACATTTGAAACTATTTTTGTACATTATTATCCCCTCTGATTTCTAATCCTATGCAGCTTTGCAAGGACTAATAGGGAATGTATAGAGCCCACGCAAGTTAAACCCTTAATAAAGAGCAATTTGCAAGTACAATTCTCTCATTATTTTTTTATCTATACTTCTGCATATTCAGTGAAATCTAAAGATTAGAGTTTTATGAATAATTCAGTGTTTAGGCTGATGTCTGATTCATGCTCTTCAAATCTGGGAGGTGGTTTTGTAGGGAAGAGGAGGAAGGACTTAGTGTTTATTTGCTGTCCGTGAGGCTGTGCTCCACAGGAGTGTGGTGATGCCTGGCACTGTGGTTCTCCCACCCATGGAGGACCAGCCCTGGCCTGAAGCCTGCAGGCTGTCCCCACACTGTGACACCTGTGGCTGCTGCTGGTGGCGTAGGGGAAAGCAAGGGTTTGGGACCCTCCAGCCAGGTGCCAGAGGCATCACAGAGCTACCAGAGAGGTGATGGATGGATCCAGGATGAGGAAATGCACCCAAACCTTCTGTAGTGCCAGCCCCAGCAGCTCTCCTGTGCCCCCACTGTCCTCTTCCTGGGGAATTCAGAAATGCACTGGAAATGAAGAACTGAACAGGCCGGTGCTGGTCTGGGGAGGAGGAGGACATGTGGGGCTCCAGGCAATGGGTCTATCTCCCAGTTCCCTGCTCCAGACCTGGCTCCTACTGGCACCTCCAGGATCTGGCCCCTGGGCTCAAGATAATGACAATGACAATGCACAGAAAATCCCTGTGAGTCCTGCGTGAAGTGGGGACATTTGCAGTGGGGACTGTTTCTACACCAAAGAGCCACTGGTGTTTTACTCAGGTTCTACTCACAAGCATAGGTGCCTGCATGGAGGGGTCGTGGAAGTGATGTGGCTGCCCATGTCCAGGGCTGGGAGTGCTCTCCCCTGAACATGGGATTCAGTGGGTGAGGGCAAATTGTTGTCCTGCTTGTGACACCTAGGTATGCTGGGCGAGAGTTGCTCCTCCTGCCTCTCTTGGCTAACAAAGCAACTCTTAATTTTCCTCCTCTCACTTGTGAAATTTTCACCTCCCCCCAACCCAGCATTATCCCATTTCCTAGTGAGGCCATACGTGGTAAGGCGGACAACACATCCCACCTTCACACTGGCCATGGGTTTGTGTGGCCCTCCTGTGCTCTGGGCTGGTTCCCTGTGCACCCTGCAGCAAGTGTTGTCAGCAAGCTGCAATCCCAGCACCCCAATGCCCACCTTGCAGCAGGTAAACACCCTTTGTCTGCCTGTTCAGGGCACTCACCCTGCAAACCCCCATCTCCCATCCTTCTCCAAACTCTCTGCTTAGGTGTACCCCTTCTTCCTCCAGCCCCTCACAAAGCTTTGACAAAGGCTCTTCAGCCTCCAGACCCTGGCTTCCACCAGGGTTTCGACCACAGCAATTAGCAGCTGCCAACCAGCACCTGCAGCCAGGCTGCTCATCAGATAAATTGGATGGAGGTGAGCTTGGTAGGGCAGTAGGGTCTGTGCTGCTGTGAGTGGAGGTGCCTGTGACTGCCTGGATTTGTGCACTGCTATGGAGCCCCAGCGGGGTAAGGAGTCTGCAAGTGCTGTGGGGTCCCTCAGAGCTGGAGCTTGGTTCATGCCCTGGGCTTGGGGAGGCTGCAGGGATGAGCAGGGTTGTGGCTGCTTGGCTCCTGGGGGCTTAGAGGCTTCTGGGGGTGTGAATGTCTCAGGACTGGACTTCAGTCCCAAATACTCTCTCTTCTAGCAGCCAAAGCTGCTGGCATCGCCCCGCACAGGCAGGCCCATCACCCTCCAACCCTGCAGATGGTCAAGGAGGCACTGCAGGCTCTCGATGAGAAGAAGGGTGCCTCTGCCATTGCCATCAGGCGTTTCATCCTGGCCAAGTACCCCACTGTGGACTCCATCCGCCTCAAGTACCTGCTGAAGCGGGCGCTGAGCAAGGGGCTGAGCTGCGGGGACCTGGTGCGGCACAACTCGTCTTCTGTGGGGGCCACTGGCACCTTCAAGGTGAGCAAGGGCTGCTGGAGCCACAGGGCTGGGGACTGAGGTGCTGGCTGGCCCTGTTGACTCCCCTCTCTCACCTCCAGTTAGCACGCAGGAAATCAGGGCAGAAGCAGCAGCTGGGCCGGGCAGATCCTGACGGAGGACAGGCCCCAAATCCAGGGCAGAAAGGGACTGCCAAGGAGCCCCAGGCCCCGGTGGCAGGAGCACGACCGCGAGGTAAGGGGCTGTGGCTGCTGTGAACAAGCTGACGCTGCCTGGCCCCCCTAGACTCATCTGCTGCCCTTCCTCCACAGGTGCCGCCAAGAAGCAGCCGAAGGCGAAGCCCGTGAATGTGAGTCGGGGCCAGCAGCAGGGTTGGGTGGCTCGTGGCACAGCAACACCCTGAGGTGCTCTCTTCTCTCCCCTCCAGGCCCAGCCACGAGCAGCAGAGAAGCCCAGGAGCGACAGAGTGAAGCACCCCCAAACTGCTGACCAGCCCCGGGCTCGTGGCCCAGGGCCTTCAGGGGCCCCAAAAGCTGCCAGCCACCGCCAGGCCCCCCGAAAAGGACGCTCAGGACCCAGCACGGCTCAGGCTGCTGAGAACGCAGGAGGGAGCGATAGCGACAGTTCTGCAAGTGCAGCGGTGAAAGGGCCCCAGAAGGCCCCCAGGGGAAAGACCAAGGTGAAGGTGCCCAAGGAGGCACAGCAGGATGCCCCCAAGGCACAGGGAAGTCAAGGTCAGGCGAAGAAGCCCCGGGTGACTCCAGGAGCTGGGCAGGGGAAGGCCAGGATGAAGAAGGCAGCCTCTGTGGCAGCAGACAAAAAGGCTCCATAGGGAGCTTAACCCTGCTTCAGCTGGCCCCAGGCCCTTGGGGTCTGTGCTGGTTTCAGTCCCTAGGACAGGTTTTAACTCTGTGTTCACCTCACCCTAATAAAGCTTCTTTACTTGCCTCATGGAATGGCATGACTATTGTGGGTCCCTGTCCCAGCACGTCCAGCTCTCAGTGCCAAAATCCCTCAGCCCTGTCTCAGCCCGACCAGCATGGTGGTGAGCTGATGCTGCAGGCAGCTGCCTTGCTGCCTTCCCTCAGGGAGAGGTTCTCTCTCTGTCCCCATGTGTCCCCAGCTGTGGTGCCAAGGGGTTGCTGGGCTTGGGTGCTGGGTGTGTGCAGGCTGAAGTGTACCAGGTGATGGGCAGGGACCCTGAGACCCGTGGGACGCAGCATGGTGACATCCCCAGGAGCAGAGAAGCTCAGGTTGGCCGGTGCTGTTGTGGAGCCGTGGTGTCCAGCCCTCTGTTGTCCTGGCTGCCCTTGTGCTAATGCCTGGCTGAGCTGGGATTACAGGAGCACCAGGGTGGCAGGTCTGGGTGCGTGCCATGGGCAAGTGTCTCCCAGCAGAGGTGAAGCAGCCTGTGCTTTAACTACAGTAAGAGGAAGACAGAGGTGTCTCAGGGCTCAGAAATCAAGTTTGGGGTGTTACTGTAGCCTCCAGTGCAGCTTGTGCTCTTATTACCAGTCTATAGCACAGTTCCCACCTACAAACTTGTCTTGTGAGCTCCTGTGGGTCGGTGTATCACACTTCCATTTAATAGTTTCAATTGCCTGAATTTCTCTTGCTCTGCCCAGAGCGGGGCCCTTCTGAAGGTCATGCCGATTGTGTAAAGGGTTACAGTCCTCCTGGGTGGGAGAAAATAAGTGGAAGTAAAACTCTTTCTAAAGAGGATTTTGTTAATCTGCAACTGGCCTTGCCGTTGCCCTCCAAGGCTCCTGGCCTTGCTTTGGGGCTTAAGCAAGAGCTGAGCAAACTTCTCTTAAACTTCAGCCTTGACTGTGTTGATCATCTTTAATGGAACTGGAACTCGTGTCCCCCCCCAGGGACAAGGTGGGGAATGTGGCAGCAGTAACTGAGTAGTGTTCACTGGATCCTCAGATGGGGGTGGCCTTACAGAGCACACTCACCCGTGTGGCAGTGTCCCCAACAGTGCCAGGCAGGGACTGTGTCCTCCCTCTCGCCAGCCACCAGGTGTCAAATGCAAAGCTCTCTTGCTTTGAGAGAGGCCAAATAATTTAATGGCTGTATTTAGCTTTGCAAAGAATCAGCTTCCTAGTGGAAGGAGAAAATCCCTCTGGTGTCTGGAAAGCACAGCTTTTACTAGGGCAGGGGGAAGATTTAGCAATGCCATGGTTATTAAGGGCCCTGGGCCACAGCTGGTGTCGGGGTGCTGAAGCTGCAGACCCAAGTCAGGTGCAGGGAGGCACCTGACAGAGGTGAGGTGCAAAATTGAGAATAGGTTGGCAGCAGCTGCTTCTGTGGGGTTACTGATCTTCATGTGCACAGTGCTGGTCAGTTCAGGTGCTGTTGTCCTCATGCCATTGTCCCCTTCCCTGCTGGTCCAGGAAGGAACTGGGGCATTGGCTGTGGGAGTGGTGTGTGTGAGATGAGAGGTACAAACCTGTTCTCACTGGGCTGCTGACCCCACACATGGTGTGTCTTGCATGTGCAAAACTTGTCTGTGCAGGTGTCACCCACGTGTGTCCTCCCCGTGTGCTTGGCAGGAACTGCACTCCATAGGTTCAGCACCTTGTTTTATTACAAAGATAGGCTTTGCCAGGAGTCTGCCACTTCCACTACACAGCAGGTAAGGGCACTACACCCACAACACGTGCCAATGTTTAAAAACACCTTACAAAGGGCTCGGAGGTTCAAGGCAACACTACAAACCCTCTGCTAAAGTTGTTCCTTTAAATGGTTGTAGCAACTACTTATTTTTTTTTCTTTCCTTTTTTTTTTTTTGGTTTTGGAAAAAAAATTAAATAATAAAACAATAGCCCCAATACATGGCCCAGCCACAGCACCTGGAGGCAAACTCTATTTACTCACCTGTATCCTTTCCCTGTAACAAACAACATGGGGCTATAGCTCCATGGCCGTTTCCCTGCCTCCAGCCAAGCTCAACATTCTCTGCTACCTTGGTCCTTCTCACCCTGGCCTTTCTTGTGCTGGGCCTGCCTACATCTCTGGCAACTATTCACAGTTTCTAAAAGACAAAAACATCAAGAAATTTTTGTGAAATTACTTTCAAAATAAAATGTAGCCCAGCTACATTATTAGAGTTTCTATTCTGAAGCCACATCCTCAGCAAAGACATTGAGACCTCCACAGTGTAAGTACTTTTTCTGTAGTTCTCTTTAAAAAAACTCTGTTCTTCCCCTTTCCCTCCCCTCCCTCCCCACCTTTTAACATACTGGATAAAGTCTACTGTTTGTTTTAAAATAGATATCTATGTACACATACACAACTCTGATGTTCTGGTTTCTGACAAATGTGGCACTACTGGAAATGACGGCATGGAGGCCACCTGTCCGTGGCAGTGAATCACCCAGGGGTTTTGGTGGACAGCGTCATCCAAAGCCAGACTGCGCCCTAGCCAGCTGGATGACTACCAGAGGCTTCCCTTAGACCCTCCTGCAGTGAGGTAGTAACTGTGTTTTTTGCCGTATGGCGTTCCAGCCGTGGTGGCCACGCCGTGGGCAGGAGCCTTGCCCTGCAGGAATGCTGGTTTGGACGCGTGGCGCTGCCTGCGACCAGCCTCTGCGGGGGCCTGAGCGGTCACTGCTCCCCAGGCTGCAGGAGGGAGAACTGGCCACCAAGCTGGGTTGCCAGGGTGGCACTGGGGCGTCTAGTCCTGGGCAAGCTCCATTTGTCTGCCGCTGGGACCCTCTCAGTGACCCCAGCCGGAGCTGGGACTCTCTGCCTTAGTTTGCAGCTCTGGGTGCTGGAGATGCCCCGCTGGCCTGTGTCACTGCTGGGCTGGCAGTGGTTGGGCCAGTCCCCTGCCCTTAAGGGCTGAAAGCAGGCTGGCCATGCAGTGTCCTGGCTGCTCTCAGGTGCCAGCCACAGGGCTGGGCCCAAAGCACGCAGAACAAGCCGCTTTAGGCGACACCTCTGCAGGACTGGCCTGATGTTTGGTGATGGTCACAGGGAGAGGCAGAGACAATGCTACCTGGTGTTTGCCCTGCGTGTGGCTTGAGGCCACTGTCAGAGGCTGTCAGCAGGCCCCACGGGCACAAACAGGCTGAGGTGCCACGGACACACGGAGCCAGCGTGGCGGGCAGGTCCTTCCCCGCCCGCTGCACCCCGGCTGGTGCAATGTCCACCTCCCTGCTGCGCTCCAGCCACGCACGAGACACGAGAGCCCAGGAAAGGCAGAACAGCCCTTCCCGTGCTAGCACAGACTGGGCTCCCTGCAGCTCCCAAACAGCTGTCTCCGCTTGGGATAAAGTGCTTCCACCTTGCCTTAGCTGCTTGGGAGGCAACGGCTTTGTCTCAACCTCGAGTTCCCTGTGTTGCCCAAGTCTCAAATGGAGGAGTGGTTATGTTTACACATACAGTACAAAAATTAAAAGGCACAAATATACACAGAATGCAGCAGATAGTGAACAGCTGATAAGAGTCCCTGATGCTGGAAAAACAAGGATGTTGGAGGGATGGAGTGGGAGCTCAGGCTGTGATGGTCTTTGCTGTCTGTAGTCGTTACTCCCTGAGGTGACCCTTCTGCTTTGTGTCTGTTGTTCCAGCCTCTGCAGCCCCGTCCCGAGGAACCACGCACCAGGGATGCACGGAGTGCTGACGGCTCGGGTGCTGACCAAGGGGAAAGTGGTGAACTGAGCTTGCCACAAGGGTCATGCCTCCATTTCTGGCTGGCAACAGCAAATAAATTATGGGTGCCACAGTGCAGACCAGAAGAGTTTTAGCTGCTCGGAAAGGTGTCTTGTGGCTTCTGGTGAAGTGAGGCAAACTTGTAGCCACGGCCAGGGCCACCCCCTCCACCAGGCTGGTCTGAGTATGACCAAGGTAAGCCTGCGGCTGAAGGCGGCACTGTGCTGCAAGAAAGGTCACTTCTAGGGCTGCAGCCAGCCTAGGCTTCACTGCAGGACTCATAGATGTTGTCCTCCATGAGAGCAATCACTTGCTCAAATTTGTGCTGGAGCTGAGTGCGCTTTGTTGTGGGGTTTGCGTCCAGGGCGGCCACGATCTGTGGGAGACACAGGCAGGCAGGGTGCTGAGGCAGTGTGGGGTGCCCACCTGCCAGCCCAGCTCACCCCACCAGACCTTTGGAGCCTAAATTCCAGCCAGAGCTCCAAAGGTGAGAGCCCACCCAGCCCCACAGCCCCTGTGCTCACACCCCTGGCACTCCTGCTCTCCTAGGGTCCCTGGTCAGGGCTCAGAGTGGAGTGATATCGGACAAAAATGCACTGCTGTAATAGAGCTGAGGGCACAGCACCAGCCCACAGGTTGCAGGGAGGGAGGAGCCAGCCAGGGCCACTGCCTCAGTGGGGCAGGGACAGCGGGTGCAAGTTAATCTGGGGGTGAACCTTATCTGCATGTTTTGCTCTCTGAAAGGGTCTATACATCTGGCAGCCCTCTTTCAGCCCAGCCAAATGCCGTTAAGATCAGGTGGGAATAGCCAGCCTTCTCTTCCAAGAAGATGCCAGCCAAGGGACAGAGAGTAGGTGCATCTATTACATATGTACTGTAATTATGCACACCCCAGCAATCCTGTTCTGTGGGACTGGATACAGGTGTGTGCCTGCAGGGTTACTGCAGCGATAGTTCTCCCCTACCAGGCAGGCCAGAGCCCATGTGCTGTAAAACCCACTCACCTGGGAGCGGTATCTCTTGGCGTATTTGTATATCTCAGCCATGGCGACGTTGGTGTTGAACTCATTTCGGTATTTCTTTATAAAGACAGAAAAGAGAGGGGAGAATATTAGCAGGATGGAGCATGTGAGTTCTACCCAGTCAGCAGGCACTGACTACAGTAAAAGCAGGTTGTGCCTGACTTTATTTGGTACAGCTGGATTTTTAAGGAAAGTGCATTTGCTCACATCAGGATGGGTCTTGGTCTTTTCAAAGCCAGCTGTAAATATCCATGCTGGGCAGCACTGCATATCCCTCTGTGCCCAAAGCCATTTCACAGGAGGGGGCAGTGCACCAGCTGCACTGCAGAATATCAATAGAAAAATCCTGCTTGGTGCCCAAAGCTAAAACACCCTGGGGAGAAAATTTGATTTTGAGGAAACTATGGTGCATCACTGGCAGGACTCTGATCTGGAATGTGGCTGCCAGCTCTTGAGGCTGGTACCAGGGCTAGCTGTCCCTGAGAGTTGCACCTGGGAGCCAGCTGGCTGGGTGGCTGCAGGACTGCAGAAATCCTTGTCCAAACTTCCTGGCTTTTTGGCACAGAATTTTGCTCTCAGCTCCCAGTGGTGCCAGAGCTAGTTAGGCTCAAGCAAACTCATGGGTGTTTACTGCAGCTCTGGCAGTAATTGAAGATGCTTGGAATTAGGTCAGATGAAGTTTCTGTGTGGAAGTTTCAGGCAAAATATCCTTTCTTGTGTGCTCCTTCCAGCATCTAAGCAGCAGTTGATTGCAGCCTATGTGCACTCCCTGCTCCAGGGAATGTAGGCTCCGTCCAGCAGGACTCTGAGCCTGCAGGCTCAGCCCCATCCTCTCCACCCACTTACCCGTGACTCCTCGGCAAGGTGGGCGTTCATCTCCTGCTCGCTCAGAGGGGGCATGTCGTGGATTTGCTTGTAGTATCTCTGCACTATCTTCCGGTACTCAGGGATCTCCTTGGCATACAGCAACTTGTTGGTCGGGGAGTCCTAGAGCGAGGGTGAGACACCAAACTCAGGCACTGGGCTGTTCCCAGCTGAAAATGTTATCCTGTTCTCAGAGCAAAGCACTGACACCAGATGGGGACCTGAGCTGCAGCTGGGTGCAGGGAACAGCTCTGCCTTTGGTCCCAGCTGTCACCGGGGAGGCGTGCGGTGCCGCACAGCGCTGAGGCATGGAACAGCTCATGGCAGAGGGACTGAGACACACCAAGGATCTGTGGATGGGCATCGTGTGCCTGTGGAGACACCACCATCCTGCTGCCCTTGCATGAGCTGAACATCCATCAGCTCAGTGCTGGAGAAGGGGGTGATGGATGTGTGTTTTAATTTGCAGCAAGCACAGGCTAAAAGCATGCCCAGGGTCAGGCAGGGTGGCTTACTGCCAGGGGATACTCTGCAGGTGAGGTAGCACACCTGTACCAGATCAAACACTTGGGCTCTGTGGTGCTGTGTGGAAATTGGCAAAAAGGGAAGGGCTTCTGCCCGTAGCTGCTGGGGTTTCTTGAGCAGCCACATTGATTTAAGCTAAAGAACAAAGCTATCTTACAAGTTGAACTTTGTCAGCTGAAATGTTTTTGGATTTTTCATGTAGCTTTGATTTATTTTGCATTGGCTAATCCAGCCTGCCTGGCCTAAATTGAGTGCACATAAAGTAATTAACAGAGAATACTGAATTCTCTTGATTAATGTCAGCTTGGAGACAGCAGCCTTAACCTCCCAGCCACACAACAGAGTTCTACCAGTGGAGGCACAACCCTGCTGCCCTCCTTGCAAACACGGCATGAATAATTTTAACCTCAAGGCAATCCTGCCCTCCTGATTTCATTACCCCAGGAATGAACTTGGCTGACTAGCCTCGTGTTGCATCCCCAAGCGGAACAGCTCCAGGTTTGGGGACACCAAAGAGAGTGAGATCACCGTGTCTTGTGTCCTGCGTGGCACTGTTCCCCAGTGCTCTGGCAGGTGGAGAGGAGAGGGGACCTGCTGTTGGCAGGGAGTGGTGGGTTCTGCCCACGGGCAGCATACTTGGCTCTGTCAGGCAGGAACAGGGGAGCCCAGGGCGACTCCAATCTGCTGTTGCAATCTGTAGCTTGGCTAATGCTGCAGGGGAAACAGGAAACGGGCACCAGATCCCACAGCAGTTTATTTTCAAACCCAGTGACAAGGCATTGTGAGACTATGGCCAACTTACAGAGTCTGCTCATAGCATTATTTTCTTTCCTTGGAAACGCAAAGGAAACCATGCTGCCTTTTCTAAGTTAGTTTTTAATTTGTGTCTGATTTGTCTCTATGATGAAGAGATGGGCATTGGTTTCTTAACTGCTTGTGCACTGTCGATGTATGGACTGAGTCTGCTCTCACATTTGCAGTATCGAGAGCAACGTGCTGAAACCAAGGGAAGAATCCAGTCTGGAAAATGCTCAGTGATACACTGCGTGTACATGCAAGCTGATTTTTATGCTGAGAATTTATTCTTCCCACATTACTCAACAATTCATTCACTTATACTATTGTATTCCAGAAAAGTGTTTCCATCTGCTGTTTGACTCCAGCTGACCCCTCTTCCCCTCATCTGCCACTTGACAAGGACAAATTGTAGGTGTTTCATAACACATGCAAAAAAAAAAGACCAAAACCCAAACAAACAAAAAATCAAGCACTCATTAGATCTTCCTCCAGCATTAACCTCTCCCAACAAAGGCTTCCTGCAGCTCTGGGGCTGGGGGTGTAGCGCCCAGCCCCTCACTGCAGGGTGTCCCCCAAGTCACACACTGTCACCTCCAGCCTCTGGGGTGGGCGGGCAGTGGGGGAGATTTACAGCATTTCTTAGTAAAACTTTCTTATGTCCATAAGTTTCAAATGTCAGCACTGTGCTCAGCCAAGGCAGTGGGAGAAAAGAGAATATGCACACGGGATGTCTTCCTGCCGGCCAGCCCTGCAGGACTGTGCGTGGGGCCCGAGGGTGGGAGATGGACCCGGCTCACGCAGCCTTGGCTGAGCACAGTGCTGACATTTGAAACTTATGGTGGCCACTGTGGGCTGGACGTGCTGCACGGGAGGAGACCACCAGCTGTGGCAGTGCTTGCCAAGTCCCTTCCACACACTGATGGATGTTGTCACTGGGATGGCCCTGGACAGACTCACACCTCTAGGTGGGCCAGGTGTGGTCTGTGATCCCTGGACAGGCACAACCTGTGTTCTCAGAGGACTGGCTCACCTCCGGAGCTTCTCTCCTAGGTAGGAGGTTGTGCAGAAATCACCAAGAGCAATGACTGACTGCAGCTTCACCTGGAGCTACATCATTTTCCATCCTGTCACTCGGAGTTTATCATTGTCCCTCAGCTACGTTATGGGATCTTTATGCCAATAGTGTCTCCTGAACCAGCCCTGACTGGAGAAGCAGGGCTCCCCTGTGGGGTCTGCCCATGCCCCATATTGGTCCCCTGAGCAGAACTGGCCCCACCTGTGCTCGGTGTTCCATGTTATGCCCCTGCCTAAGACAACAGCAGAAAACATTTGTCTGCTTCAGCACCAGCTCAGCTGGGTCAGGAAGCGTCTCAGGCTTGGTGCTGAGTGAGCAGTGTCTGCCATGGCTGCGGGACAGCTCATGGAGCTGATGGGTAACCCTGAGCACACAGCCCAGTGCTTGGTCTCCCCCACCCTCAGAGCCCCCCAGGCTGGGGGCCCTGCCTCGTGTCCATCCTGCCTGTGACTGTGTCCCTGCTCCCTGGCTGTTTGTGACAGAGGACGTCCAAATTTAAAGCTCAAGCCTGAACAACGGGGTGGGGAAAGGAGGGGAAAACACATCCCTGGAGACAACCAAAACTCGACTCCATGAGCCGAAGCAACAACTCCAGCCGGCCATGGGAGGGAGGGAGGCTGGGCTGGTGACCTCTGCCAGGCCCTGCCCACCCAGCCTGCTCCACCTCTGTGACTGCCTGAGCAGGAGCCCTCGCTGCACCTACCTTGCCCAGCTGCAGGTCGGAGAGCGAGCAGGCGTCGATGAAGGCCTGGGCGATCACAGACAGACAGGCGTCGATGTGGTCTGTCTTGTCAATGTCGAAGACAAACTGGGGGTTCTTCAGGATGTTGACCCAAAACCTCAGTGGTAGGCTGCAAAGGGAAGGATCCAGGGACACACACGAGATGAATTTTTGTGTACGAGAGGAAGACGGGAAGGAAAGATGATCATAGAAAGGGAGTACTAGAGAGGAAAGCTGAGGAGATGGATTCTGCTATTTAATCACACCTGGTACAGACCCCTGCCTTGACAGAGGGGCAGGGACACACCTTCACCCTCAAGACATTTTTTCAGGCTGGAGGATGTGACACGTACAGCCTTCTCTAGGCACACACATGCCCCTGCTCCTTCAGCTGCTCCCAGCAGCTGCAGCCCCAGAGAGGCACCAGCAGCTTTGCCTGTGTGGGTCTGTTGAGTCAGGCTTCTGCACTTGCTGCTGTTTGGAGCAATGGTGTCACCTCCTTTTCCCTCTTTCCTGACATTTACCCATCATCTGGTTCTGACAGTGAGCCCCACAAAATGCATTTCATCTGTCTTTTTTTTCTGTTCTCTCATAATTTTCTCCTTTAGTTATTTCACTGCTGATTTGGCCACAACACAGTTTCAGTCTATTGCTCATCCTTCCTACCACAGCAGCTGAGAGATGAAAACCACTGTGTGTCTTGGCTCTACAGGCCAGTGAACATAGTAAAGGGTGGGCAAATCTGTTGCCCAATGGTTGTATCCATGCCCCCTTTCCCAGTAAAATTTGGTTTTAGTTTTCACACATTGGTCTGGAAACAGCTCCCGTCTCCACAGTCTCCAAACTGCTGAGCCTCTCCTTGATACTCTCTCCAAGCTCCCATCTCTCTCCATTTAAATCCTCTGGTTTGTTCCCTGCACTATTTCCCCTTCACTATTTCCCCTTCATGCCACCCCATTCCTGCTGCTCGAGTCCCTCAGCACCACATCTGGTCCCACTGCTGCGGTGCTCACCAGCAGGCCACTGTCACAGCACTCCTGGGGTCCCCCGAGGACCCTGGAGACTCAGCCTGGTTACAGATGTGAGCAGGAAAGTGCCACTAAAGGGCTGAAAAGGCAGAAAACCAAATGAAAAGGATCCAAATCTGTGGGTTTTAAAATTTCCATGACGTTTTTAAGACCTGACATGGTCTTGGACTTTCAGATCTCCCGTGCTTGAAGCTGACACCATTGCTGTCTCCCATCATCCTATTCTCCTTTCATTATTTGTATGTGCCAGTTCTTTTGGCCCTTTGTCTGCTCATCCTCTTTCAGCTCACTGTTCCCCTGGGCTTCATATTTGTTCAAAGCTCTCCAATCCTGTGTTTGGCTTCATCTTTCACAGCCCCCTCTGCCACCCTCCCTGTTTTCCAAGTCCCTGTTCTACTTTTAGCAATCTAATGATTAGTCCAGGACACCAGGGTTTTGCAGCTGCTGCTCCCAAGAGATGGAAGGAAGACAAGAAGGATTTCCTTTTCCAAACCTGTTGGTCTTCCAGATGTGCAGAGTGTCAGGGTCTGTGATCCCTCTCTTCTCTGCCTGTTCCTCTAGGAAGTCAAAGAAATACTTCACAGCCACGGGTGGTTTATCATCTCGGATACTGAGAATGGCTTTGAACAAGTCATCCAGGAACTTCTGGAGTGTCCCCTGCAGGACAAGGACACAGTGGACCCTGGGGAGAGCAGCAGCACCCAAGCCCAGGAGAACAGCAGAGGGGCTGTGACTGCTGCACACTAGGGGAAACCCTTTGCTGCCAGCTGGATAAGTCAGAAGAGAGAGGGGATGCCAAAGCAGGGAGGGAACAATTTGTTTGTGGATAACGATATAACAAACTTGCATTTGGAGTTAATTTCTTTTGGCATCAAGATTTTCTTTCTTACTGCTGGGATCTCACATCTGTGCTTGTTCTGTATACCACATACAGAGAAGACCAGAGACTGCTGGCCATCCCTGTGATCTTTGCTTCAGTGAGGCACCGTGCTGGGATTAAAGATAGGCCAGATATGACCTCAGATCACACAGACATTTCTCTTGCTCCCAGAGCTGAGCACCTCCATCTCCTGTCCCAGCAGCATCTCTTTCTGGGGAGATGGTTTCAGGTCCCAGCTTTGCATCTCAAGCCCTGAGGCAGCCAGAATCCCTTTTGTCTGCACAGACCCCAGTCCATCGCAGAGAGATCATGCGGGACATCACACAGCAGCAAGGATGAGCTGGGAAGCTGGAGGGACCCCAGGGAGCCTGACAGCCTCACTAAACATGACACAGCCAACCAGGAGAGGAGTCCCTTTGGGGAGCCTCTGGGGAGCAACCAGCCCTGCAGTGCTCCTTCCCTGGAGCAGGCTTCTCCCGACAGACCACACACAATCCCACCTGCCAAGAACTGGGCAGCCCAGCTCCTACCTTGGTGGAGAGTAGCCGTGTCAGGTAGATCTCTGGAAGAACCTTCTTCCTATGGCTCTGTCTGTGGGACTTCTTATGTTCCACTGATTCATCAGTTGGGAGAACCTGGTCCCAGATAAAGCAGATAAACATGGTTAGAGCACTATTCCCTGAAAAGTGTCACACTAAATTTTACTTTCAGCAAAGAATTTCAACCGCATATAAAATTCAATTAAAAAGCAGTTACTGCTTTATAAACACACCCTTATATGGCTTTAAAAAAGTGATCCATAACACTCGGTTTTTATGACATTTGTTTCTCCTGTGCTCTTTATTGCCTCTCTCACCCTAGATGAAGGAAATGAACCCATTCATCTTCCTTTGCACGCTGGCCTGCTTGCCCCCCCAGCTGGGCTGCACCTCGGGCTCCCCGCAGCAGTGCACATGGCTTCTGCAGAAACCAGCTTTGCTTGGATTTGGATTTGAAAAAGCACAGTATGTAGGAATGCTGGCTTTTTCAAAACAAAAATGAATATTCCACTGGTTAGGTCAGTGAATTACTCTCTATAATGACAAAGCAAGCAACTGACATCCATCTTGGCATTGTTTCACATGTGAACAGTTGGTTTCCCATCCCTTCTCCCTCCTTGCTCTGCATGTGTGTGTGTGCATGTGTGCTTCTACTTGAGCATGGAAATGCTTGCAGAGAAAAAAAAATCCCAAACCAGGCTATAAAATATTGTTATTGTCCATAACACCTTTTTTCATAACAGCTTTTAGCAGCACTTAGCACTTGGCACTTGCAGCACGGTGCAGCAGCAGGAGCCCACGGAGCTGCTCAGCCCAGGAAGCAGGCAGGATGCCAGGAGCTCCCAGCAGGTGACAGCCAAGGTGTCACAGACACCACCACTGACTCTGTGCCTGCCGTGCCATGCTCTGACCTCGCCCCTGAGCACTCCGTGGCTGCAGCAGCTCGATCAGACACAGCAATTTCTCTGCCATCCTGGTAATTCTTTATCATGTCACTCAGTTTATCTACAGATAAAGCTTATCCACAGATCACCTTCCTGTGCCTCTTTGAACCCTGCTGAAGAGAACTAATGAGCCCTGATGCAGCTTGTTCATCACATCTGGCACTACAGCCCACAGACATAATTTAATACCAGCAGCCCCCACATGCAGCCATCACCCCTGCAGCCAGGAGAGGGATACTTACCAAGTGGAAGTACTTTTCAGTGTCCAAATCCTTCACTGTGAAGAAGAGAGACACAGTGGCTCAGACAGGGTAGCCCAAACTGAAATCCATCTCAACTGGTGACCTCCATGTCAAGAGGCATCTGAACCCCAAGAATACCAACCCCAACCTGGCATTCTCAACCACAAGTGATCTCAGCGTTTCGCCTTGTTTTGGGGTTGTTTATTGCATTATCGGGCTTGTGGCAAGTAGCCTAGGAGGTACTTTAAGGTGGACCTGAGGTCTCCCAAGGGATGTTTTAAGACAGACTCACGAGGGCACAAGAGCAGGGTGAGCGCAGGGGCACTCCTGCACCATGACACCCTGCTGTGCCCTGCTGTGCCTCACACTCCTGGGGTTATTCTGTGCCTCAGCATCAGGGCAGCACAGCCCCAAGCAGCTCCTTGCCACAGCAGACAAAGGACTCCAGAGCCAGGCTCTCTGGAGGCAGCCTGGAAACAGGGTTTGAAATTCCTTGTTTAATGTGGAGTTTTGTCTCACTTGGTTTGTTTTCACTCTGCACAGCCTGAAACCTAGAAATGCACTGGCAAGGGACTGAATATACGTAACAGGGAGGAAGAGGACTTTTTCAACCAAGTGATTTCAGATTCTTCCTTTTTCTCACTCTGTCAGCACAGATTGCATGCCAGCTCCCAGTGAGGGTGTGAGATGGAAGGTGCAAACACCTTGAGGGCTGGGAGAGCACCCTACGCCCCATAAGGCAGAGGGAGGAGATTGGATAGCACATGTTTAGAGCCACCGCACCCACAGCACCCAGGAACTGGGGCTGGCAGTATCTTCCAGCATCCCCAGCCAGAGACAACCCTCTGACAATGCAAGCATTCCTGCCCAGTCATCATCAGCAGGGAAGAGGAGTGAGATGTTACCTCTGCTCAGCGTGGTGTCCTTCTTGTCTGTCAAACTCATGGCCAGGGATGCTCCTTCAGGGATCTGTGGAGGAAGGGAAGAGCATGCATTGATTATAGGGGCCTTATCAGTGCCTCCCTGGTCCTGTGGACATTCCAGGAGCTGGGGGATACTGGTGCAGTCATAGTTCTGCCACAAACATTCCCTGAACATGCCCTGCCCTGCCCATGCCCCCCATTGTGTGGAAAGGGAATTTTCAATACAATTACAAGATAGTGAGGTTCTCAAACCCGGTGGGAACTGGGCAAATACATGTATCTAAGGTACACTTTTGGATGTGGACAGCAGGTAATTCGAAAAGGAAGGAGAGTTTGGCTGTGCAGGTGCTGGTTTGCCATTCCCCAGACGGGAGAAGGGAGTGGTGGCAGCCGTGGGGCTGGTGCAGCCGCCGTGCTCGGGGGCACTGTGCCAGCAGCACGGCTGCTGCGCTGATAACCATGCCAATGAGCACTCAGCTCCACTTCTGTTTTCCAGGCACAGCTACACACCAGGGAGGATTACGCTTCCAGGCATACCAGGGAATATGAAAATCGTTAAGTATTTCTGGTTTCATTCAATTTTAAAAGAAAAAGAGTCAAGAAAACAATCTGATTCACCATGTTTCCTCATATTTTTGGCCTCACTTCCTCAATGGTGTCCCCAGCCCCTGCACTCAGCAGGAGTGTGGATCAAGAGCACAGTGATACTAATCAGCCAGGCTGGTGGCCCTTGGGAATAAGAGCTCTTTCCCCCCTCTTTCTGTTGTCAGTAATAACTTGTTTTGCATGAAGAGTGTTAATTAGTTTCTGTGTGTTGCAATATTAACGAGATTCTCGCCAGGGCAGATGTCTATTCCCTGGAAGCTCTCATGGAGCTATGGCAACCTCTCTGCTTGTTCCTGATGATCCCGTTTTGGAGGGGAACCGCAGCTCGCCCTGGAAGCCAGGCAGGCTCCGAGGAGCTGGGGCTCCCCTGAGGTGTTGCAGCTTTACCTTGTAATGTGCTAATGTGTTGAGTTTCTTCCTGCCGTCCTCCACCACCGAGGTGTCATCGAGGTCCCGCAGGATGTAGCTGTCAGTGCTGGTGGCGAACCACTCTGAACACAGAGAGGGGAGAAGTGAGACCCCAGCCCAAAGGAGGCAGGGGCCAGGGGGTCTGGGACTGAATGGCTGCCCTGGTGTCTGCCCTCTGTCCGTGCTGCTTCACCCACTGCTCTGACAGGCACCAACAGCTGCTCCACAACTTCAGGTGCTTCGCCTGTTTTGACAGACTGGCTGCTCCCATGCACCCGGTCCTTACCGAGGTCAACGTCTTCCACCCTTGGCCACTGGGAGTAGGGGACGTTCTTGCAGAAGGCCTCCAGAATTTTCTCTTTCACTTGACTCAGTGTGTCTGTGTCCATGGCTCTGACACTCAGGGAGTCCATCCCACAGCCTTGGAAGGAGACGTTGAGGTTCTGCAGGGAGAAGCTGTGTTAGGAACAGCCTGCCTGGTTCTGCTGGCTCCCAGGAGTGCTTGGGAGCTGCGGTGTCTGCACAGCTCTGGCTGGTGCACCCTGGGCCCCGTGCTGATGGAAATCAGGCTGAACTAATGTGGCCATCACTGCTTTACAGCATGAGAATCACTGGTTTACAGCCCCAGGGGCTCAGGGCTCTGTTGACCAAGCTGGGAGAACACAGGGAGCAACACAGCAGCCCCCTCTCATGTTGTCTTGGAAATGGGGTTTGACCACCACGAGGCAGGAGGAAGGGTCAGCCCCCATTACCAGCCGTGTTCACAGTTGTTTGGCTCCAGGTGGTGACTAATGGGACCACCAAAGCTCATTGCTCAGCCTCTGCTTGATGCAACAGGCCAAGCTCCACTGCTTAAACCAGCTCTAAGCCTGCTGCAGGACGGGTCTGCTGCAGTGCCTGGAGCCCTTGAGAGCTCCTGGACAGCGGGACAGGCAGCTGTGAGAGCCTACAGGCTGCCACAGACACCCACTCAGATAGCAGGGAAGAACAGCTACTGCCTCAGTTGCAGCCCAAAGCTGCAGGGCAAGGAGAGCAACTCTAAAAGAAACACTCTCCTCTTTGTCTGGGTGCTTCCTCCTCTCACCAGCTCTGCAGTTCTGAATGCTGTGAGCATGGCATCTCCCTCTCACCCCAGCTCAGGAGAAGCCCCGGCACATGGCTACTCACCCTTGGCTTTGCCTCTATGTTCTCCCTCAGCAGCCACTCCTCATTGAGGGTGTACCTGGCCTTCCCCGTAATGGCATCGATGGAACCCTTGTTAATCTGCTGTTTGATGGCACAGATCAGCAGGAAGAAGGGCTCTCCAACTGTCTCCTGGGGAAAGGAAAGAAGACCAAGTCAGCAAACCAGATCTGGTGGTGACAGGTCCATTAGCAGCACGCAGGGACAGGCTCTGTGAGGCCAGTGAAGGTGCCTCTGCACACCAGGGAGCAGGACTAGTGCACCCCACGTGCTGCAAACACCTGTGGGGCCACTGCCTCCCAACTCCCACTTGCCTCTGAGGCTGCTCAGAAGTTTTCAGACTTGTGGCAACATGACAGCGCAGATGGGGAAGAGGACACAACAGCCAACAACAGCCGCAGGCCGTTTTTGGGGATGCTGTAGCTGTCAGCATCAACATACCCCATCCAAGCTCTGCAGCAAGCACTGGAGCTGTGGAATGCCACCGATGGGCTGTGCCAGCCTGTGCTGTCTTGGGGCAGAGCTGGGGTGCTGCTCAGAAGGCAGGGGCATATGCAGGGACGTGCACACGTGACACTCAGCAAAATGCAAATGTGCATTAATTTACGTGAATTACACAGGAACAGGGAGAATCTAGCATACTGTACTACAGAGATACTTCCTGCAATCTGACAGGGAGCAGACTGTACAACATGCTGCACTCAGCAGAACAAGATAGGGCTGATGTGCACAAAAATCCAAGAATAGAGATATTTGGGCACTCAGCTTTCTCATGAACATGTCGGGCGAACCCCTCACTGAACTCCATGGGAGTGAGCCCACAGCCTGGGCCTGTGGCCCTGGGAACCCACGTTCATACTTCTCATACCACAGCAGAGCCTTCATCACAGCAAAACACAGGATCAGGGTCAACAAGCTGTTCCCCTGTGACAGCAAGTAAACACACCATTTAACTCCTTACATTCATCAAACCTAAGTTCACGGGAGAGAGGTGAACTGTGGCACTCCTGTAGCAGGAATGGAAAATATAACAGGGAGCATCTATTTCTGATGTGATTCAGCTACGCAGTTTAATGCCAAATTTCTGAGCCCCTTCTGCCTGCTGCACTGATGTGCAAGGGAAACATAAGCTATTTTCTTAAAGAACTCTTCAGCGTCAGAGTACATCCCATTCTCCCTAATGTTCACGTTCAATTTCCTTCCAATGAGGCAAGTGCAAATTCTGCAAATTATGTATTCTGAGCCTCCCCCCTGCACACACAGGCCTGCCATCTGAGAGCCTGCTCAAGACAACACATACCCCACGGTTTGGATATTTCTCAGCTAGGAACTGCTAAATCCTGTTCAATCTGCTTCTTAATTAAAACTTGGTGATTCTTTTATTCTAATTGCCCTATAAAATTGCTAATTGCTAAAGCAATTAGTTCGATGTCAATTTGGATGCGCTGCTTTTGGCACGGTTGATGATAGGGTGATACAGCAGGGCTGCCAGTGGGCACACGCCACCGTCTGTGCCAGCAGGGCACTCACTGCCTTGTCAAGGGTAACTTCATGAATACTGGGAAGCTCCCTGGGTCTGCTGCAGGGGTCTAATGATTCCTGCAATGCTCCTGTGAGCAGGCAGCACAAAATGGGCTCAGAGCAGGGCTGTGGGTGCCGGAATGCAGGAAGGCATGGCTTTCAGACTGTAGAGGAAAGTGTGGAGTCAGGAAGTGGAGAAGCTGCGGATTGCAAGGAGTGAAGAATGTGCAGAAGACACAAAGAGTTAATTTTGTAGAGAAAGGCAGAAGCAAGATATAGCAAGGGGCCAACACTGACATGGAGACCTCCTTGGGCTGCAGTACCACTGCCCTCATACTGCGAATTGCAAGAAACTACTGGCTGGCCCTGCACACGGGGTCATCAGTCTCTGACACTGGCCATGCTACCAACAGGAACCCTGTTTGTGTCACATGCGAGCAGGGACAATTCTGAGGCTAAACTCTGGAGCCTTCCCACCCCTGCCACGGGCAGCTCCAGCCACAGGGAGACTGCAGTGTCTCCAAAAACATTTAAAAAGGGCGAGTCCTACTGATATGGGAGTTCTTATGGGCTGCACAGGTCAGGGCTGACCCCACGCACCTTCCTGCTCACACGAGGCTGCCCTGGGAGCGCAGGAGCACGCACTGGGGTCCCTGCAGCCACTGCAGCGTGCACGGGCAGGACGTGGCCCAGGCCGGCCCACAGGGGACACAGCGACAGCGCTCCACTGGCGAGATGCTATTTCTGTTTGGCTTTTTGGCTTTCAGGTTCAGGAACTGTGGGATGTTATGGAAATCTGCAAAAGTGCTAATCAGACAGAGAATTTTAAAGCGGGGAAAGAAGGGCCGGCAGGCAGGGACTAGAGATAAAATGGCAAACTTGTGAAACCTCCAGCATTGTTCAGAAAACTCATCTGGAATGGAATCAAAACTGTCTTTGGACTTGGCTAGTTAGGAGAAAGGAAGTTTAACCAGAAGAGATCAGTGCTGATTCAGGACAAAAAAATACTTAAAAAAACACAGTCTGGGGCCTTTTTTTCCTCCTATTGTGAATGTATTTTAATGAGACTTCATTTTCGTTTTTGACTGAACTGTTATGGGCCCTTAAAGCCACCCAGGGCACTGAAATAACTGCAGTAATGGAAAGCACAGTTCAGGCTGGCAGGACTTGAACTGTTCCACGCACACGGAGCGTGGGAGGGCTTCGTTTTTATATGCTTGGGAAAACAAAAAAGTTTAGCGCACAGACTGGATTCACATGCTGCTGCCCTATTAACACAACTCTGACAAGTTATTATAGATGTCCTCCCAGGAACACACTACAGCCATTTTCAAAATGTTTTGGTGAGCCTAGGGTGGGAACAGCACAGAAAACAGCTGCTTATCCCAAGTGCCTGCTAATTTTGGGACAATTATCTGTTTGCATTCTGCGAAGAACCAAACCTCCATCCCACATGCAAAATTGGGTAAGCTTGGACCCAGACATAAAAGCCGAATTCCAGAATCCTACTTTTCCTTTAACCCCCCAACCCTGCTAGGAGCCAGGCACAATTGTATCATGGTAGCTCATGGAGAAGGCTTTATGTTAAAGCTTTTTCCACCAAAACTGTAGCACAAAGTAGAGATGTGGACCATTTCATCTACGATTCTCACCCAGTTCTGCAGAAACAGAGCTCTGCATTGATTGTGCAAGCACTGCAAGCTACCTCTGAGCTGCCGTGCCTCGCAGCAAGCCCCTGGCAGCTCATCCCAACCTCCCACACGCTGACCCAGCCCCTGCCAGTGGACTCTGTCGCCTTCAGGTGCCCTCCACATGTGCAGGCCACGAATGCCTGTGGCCAGCAGCTCTTTCCCAGCTGAAGACAGCTCCTTCAAATCATTTTCCCCCAAAACACAAATGGACGGGCTGTTAGGCAGAGCATTAATGCAAAACAAATGTTTTGAGCATGTAGCGTTGACTTACAAGGGAAAATACATGCACTTGGAATTTTTCCACTGCACAACGGCGGGGACTTTCACAGCAGCTGTTTCAAATAGACATTGTGATTAATGGGGATAATTCAGGAATGAAAACCAGGCCCATCATCACATGTCTGACAGAGCAGAGCTACAGGCAGGCAGGCAAGCCTTCTTTTTAACCAAGAAATGCCTCTCCGAAGGCAGCAGAGTTTGCTCCTTAGGAACACAAGGCACATGGGAGGCCTTTGGCTATCACTGCCATTTAAATCACAGCCCTGAGCTGACACCAGCCATGTGGAAGGAGGTGCTGTCTGTTCCACCACAGTAGCTCCATCCTCATTTGTGTGGTGGGGAAGATGCCAGCTCTGCTGATCTGGATAAAGCTCCTGTCCCTTTGCACAGCTGGGCTTTTGTCACCTGGGACAAATTTTCTCTCCAGACATTCCTGTCTGATCAATTATTTTCCCTTTTTGTATTTCAGGAGCAGCTCAGTGTCACCTCTGATCCCACCCTTACTGTGGAGCATGTGAGATATCAGAGTCTCCTGGAAATCAACTTCATTGTGCATTTGCTTTCAGAGATGGGAAAGAGGCTGCAGCAATGCTCTGAACTGCCATGGCTTCAGGCTGGACACGGGAGGCCTGGAGGGGATGGAAAACCCAGTGCATAGCCTTAGCCCCTGCCAGGAACCTGCTGCAGGTGGCTGGAAATGCACATTCAGCCAGCAGCCCAACGTTTCTGCAAAGAACCCAGTCACCTCACAGGACCTCACAGTCCTGCTCCACCATACCCTGTTCTCATCCTCCCTCTGTGGGCCAGGGGGAAGCCAGTTCACAGCTCTCAGCTCTCAGCTCTCAGCAGCACTGCCCAGCCCTGGGGATGGCCACAGCCTGCAGGAATGGGCAGCGGTGATGTGTGTGGAGCTCCTCACCATTAGTGAGCCGTGTAATGTGCTCAAGCCTTCAGGCCCACGTGATAAGGCTCCACTTTCCTCTTTTTCTTTTTTCCCTGAGAAAGCCTTCTTGCACAATGTCCATTTTTAGCACAAGCTGGAGCTGGATCAGATGTCTCACATGTGGTCTCCCCTCCCCAAAAGGGAATATCAGCATTTTTTTTCTCCAGTGGTTAACTACAGGCACAAAATCTGAAGACTGAAAAACTTTTACTAATTTCCCCTTTTCTATCCTTACAGGCTGGATAGCTAGGCTACACTGGCACAGGCATCCTCATCCACTCCTGTAACCCTTCTTTTATTAGACTGGCTAACTGTGTTGGCTAGAATGAAAAATTATGAACTACAAAGCCACTGGCTTTAGGACAAAAAGTGGTCCTCTGGGATCAGGAGACATCACAATATGTATGAAGACAATATAGAACTGCTTCTGTGTTCTGTGGAACACTTTGGGAAAAGAGATTTTTTCAAAGGCTTTTTCAAGGCTCTTCCCGTGGGTATAATGGGGTATCCTCCAATTAACTGCTGTGGAATCAATTAAGTTATTGCTCAATTCTTCTGGGGAATTCCAAACAGAACTGGCAAATGTTGGAGATAAAGCACTGAGCAGATGGACTGCTGATGGCTCTGAGATGCCAAACATTTTCCTGCTCATTACCAAGAGAAGACCATCAGCCTTCTGGGACAGACACCCACCCCTCCTGCTTGGATTTATGCAGAACCACGAGGATGTCTCTGCACAAGAGGCCCCACACCCCAGTGGGCACCGACACAGAGCAGCCCCTGCCACCGTGCCCTCGGCCCTCACGCTGACTGGTCAGCACGGCTGTGCCAGCTGGTCACAGAACCAACACATAACCAGCTGGGCCCCAAAGCCTCCAGCCATTCTGGTTATTTTTCAGCTCCCCTATGGCTCTCCTCAACCACAGTGAAAATGTTGATCCGTGCTCTGGCCTGCCACGAAGACTAAGCTCACCAAAATCCTGGGCAGAACTGGAGAGGCAATTGAACTCCAGGCTGCTTTCCTACACCTGAATCATTCAGTTTGCCAACTGTTAGTGACCATTTGAGTAGCACTGCTAGCAAGTGTCAGGTCCTATCTATCCTCTGCATCCCTCATCCCTGCTGCACACAGAGGCGACCCTGCACCCACCACAGCAGGGACTGGTTCTCTTACTCTGAGGTAGCTGTACATGCAGATGGACATCCAGTTGGTGAGCATCTTCTCCACCACAGATTCTGTCCTCCTCAGCATAAGCTTGGGGTTTTTGGAAGCTGAAGCATCTATTAGATCCACCAAGAGGTCCTTCATGATGCTGGTGTAATACTCCAATTTCCCATGCAATGCAATAGTAAGCAGGGAGGCCAGGTTACACCTGAAACACAGAATGATACAGGACTCAAGCCCCAGTGCAACGAGACTGAACTGCTGACTGGCACTAAAATACCCAACACACAAAGGCAGTCTTTCAGACAATTTTCATGAGCCTCCTTAATGGTGTTAGTAGTTCCAACCCTCATTCAGTAATGCAGAGCCTCGGGTCAGCTTGCACACTCTTACTGGTAAGCCAAATGAGTGAGTGCTCTTCAGGGTTTATGGCCATCCATCTTTAACAGAAATGTGTAGGCAAGTGTGACTCAACCATCCACTGAAACACAGAGACCCAGACTCTGCTGGATTGCTTTGGGTTAGGAATAAATTGGTCTCCTCCAGCTGCCAAGTCTTTGGTTCTGAAGCTTATACCTGTCTCTGACAGCAAAGTCCTTCTGTTGCTCAAGAGCATGGACAAATACGATAAGAAAGTGCTTGTTGTTGAGTAAGGTGGAGAACAGAGAAATTCCTTCTTCCATGTTGGGTCTGCAGTTCTCAGGGATCTAAAGAAAAATTTAGAAAGTAGACTAAGAAAACCCTGCTTCTTGTTTTCCTCCACATTTTATCCCTCCTGATGGCAGGGATGCCCCTACTGAGCACAGACATTCTAAGTAGAAGAGCCCCTCCTCCCTCTACCTGACACAGCCAGCAGCTTTGCTGGCAAGGAGCCCCAGCTGGGGCAGTGGCAGTGGCCATTCCATTCTGTTCAGCACTCATGAGGATACCCAGAGCACTGTGGCCAGTTTGGGGCTCCCCACTATGAGACAGATGGAGCAAGTGCAGCTGAGGGCTAACAAAACAATTAGTGGGTGTACAAGGAGAGGCAAAGAGGGCTGGGTTTGGTCAGCTTTCAGAAGCTCTACAGGGAGACCTTACTGCAGCCTCAGGGTTACAGAGCCAGGAAGGATTCCAGGCCAATGCTTCATCATGCAAGAGCATATTCACAGATCTGCCTTCTTCAGCTGGCCGAAGCTGATCCAGTGCTGGTCTGTGTTAATGGTTAGCAACACCCAAAAGTGTTTGTTCTGTCGGTGGGTTACTCACCTTCCACTCCCCCACCAGGAGTGGATGTGTTTCCTGGACCTGGGAGCCCACCTGTGAGCTGAGCTGCTGGGATGGCAGGATGTAGCACTCCTCGTAGAGAGAGGAACACTGGAACCAAGCACAGTGTTAGGGGAGGGCACCTGTGTGCTGTGCACCACAGGGGAATAAGATGGAGAGGCAGGTCACTGGGACTAAAGCCACCCATTCCAAAGACATGCACGGGGCTGGCTTACGTAGCCTTGAAACACTTTGCAAGAGCCTCCTGAATGAGCAAACACCACAAGGATGGGGGGAGGCAGACGTCTGCTCAGACGCAGCGCTGTGAGGGCAGGGAGACTGCAAATAGAGTAATGTGACAGCTAGAAAACTCCCAGAAGAGAAAGCTTTACAGAAGACTATATCAAAATAGAGGAGTTCTGGGTGATTCAACATAACTTTTAAAACAGATGGGGAAAATGTTTAAATCTCTAGCATTCATATACCAGCCTGAATCTTAAAGCCTCCAGTGTGCAGGGATATGGAGACTGGGTAACTGAAAAACCTGAGTAATAGCTACTAATGAAACACTCTGCAGTCATAAATCATCGTCTCAGTCCTCAGCACTGACACACAACTGCCTCGGGGGTGAAATACAGCCGCAGCGAAGGGCGCACAGCCACAGAGCGGAGCAGCCGGTGACGGGAACGGCGGCACCAGCGCGGCTGCTGCGGCGCTGGTAAAGGACTCCGGGCAGGCAGACTGGGACTGGCTGCCCAAGGGACATCTTACTGGGAGCACCACGCACCCAGCCTTGGACAGGGAGGAAGGGAGAGACAGAGACATCCAAAGAATTCCTGAGGACTGGCTGAGCTGCTGGGAATGCTTGGGGGCACCGTGCATGGGACAAAAAGCCCCTCTCCTGATTGCCAATTCACCCTTGAGCCACCCTTCAGCCTCTGCTGAATGGAGTGGGGTGACACTGGAGCCCTCAAGGAGGAGACCCCAGCACTCTGCTTGTGTGAGAGCTCTTTCAGAGGAGGTGTGCAATGGCCCCAAAGAGGCAAGCCAGAGCAACTCCTGGAACAGTTGCCCCCAGCTTCTGTCATGTGCAAGCAAGCCCAATCTTGTATGACACCCCAGGAGGTGCAGCTCCACTCTTGATGATAATTAAGGCTGAAATATGTGACAAGTAAATACATAACAGTGGAATGATTTTGTGACACTGTAAAAGCCCTTTAGCAGAGCCCTAAACTGGGTGGGACATATCTGGGAGCAATGAGGTGCCTGTGACACGCGCTGTCTCCTTACTTTGGGGAAGAATGTCCTGGTGACAAAGTGCTTGTATTCCAGGAAGGGGATCCCCTGGCTGCGGTTTAGCTCCTTGGTCAGGTCTGTCATGTCTGTCTGCAGCTCTGCAAAACCTTATACAAAGAGACCCGCAGATGGTGAGAGCCCAGTCCTCCACCAGCGAGAGAGGCTGGCACTGGAAAGCACAGTACATCTCATCTCTGCCCCCTCACGCCATCCCTTACGGGGGCTGAAGGCATGTTTTCTCTGAGCAGCACATTCCCATTGGGGTTTAACCACCAGACTGCACATTTTGCCCCAGCTTGACAGAACATTCTCTGCCCCAGGAGCCCCAGTGCCCTCAGGAGAGGACGTCAGCCGATGTGGTGAGATCATGGACCGTGGGGTGGGGCGTGCCAACACCTGGAATGCTTCTCCCATTGTTTTATGAGGAGCATGCTGCAGTTTCTGTTGCACCCAAGAGGAAAGCACACTGAAGGTTAGCATGACCTTCAAGTAACCCTCTGGCACAGCCAAGGGCCATTAACCCCAGGTAGAGAAGCTGGTGGCACTGGAGGTCAGTGGCTTGCCCAAGCCAGGCAGCAGGACAGTGGCAGGGCCACACTTACCAGCCACTCAGCCTCATTCCCAGACCCTGTCAAAACTCACAGGCGATCACAGAAATTCTCCTACAAATAGTTCTATAAACTTCTGCACAGCACAAGGTGCTTCAAGCCTGCTAACCCAACATCCTGCTCCTAGCCATGGCTCCTTGGCACCCAGACAGGGACTTACCTTTGCGGATTTCCTCTCGGATCTGTGACTCCATCTCCTCCATCTGGAGCAGGGTTTTCTGCCAGTAGCGCTCAGCTCTGCGGCTCTTTGTGCAGAATACAAAGAGAGCTGGAAGAGAGGAAGAGAACAAGCCTTTTGGACCCGGGCTTGGGAGCAGCTGCAGCTGGGATCAGAGCAGTTCTCTCTGACACAAGTGCAGAAAGCTAAACCCAGAGCTGGTTTCACACCTACCACCAGACTGGTCAGGCAGTTGTCGATTGTCTGTAAATAAGTAGTACCAGCTGGAATTTAATGATTGTGCTGTAACTGTCATCTTCAATTTAGGTCTGGGCTGTCTGTATTCATCTTATATATTAATGTGTTCCAGCTGATTAATGAATACAGAATTGAGGATGTTTACCACCTGTATTACAGTGTTCATATCTGACAGTCTTCCCATGCCTCCAGAAATATGTTTCTAATGATGGGTGATGCATCTAGTAAATAGGGTGCATTAGAGCCTTTATTAAAAATAAATAAAATCCTTACTTGAAGCCCTCATTTGCTGTGAACTGGCAGGTTTCTTGCTGCGCAGTCATTCTGGGCATGTGATGAGCAGGGACCCTAGCCCAAGGACAAAGGTGTGCAGCATGGCTTCCAGCCAGCTACATACACTGTTTCAGATTTGCAGCTAAGGATGCTGGCTCTGCTCTTCCTACTCAGTCAGGCGCCTGTCACTGCTTGTTCCTGATGACAGGATATGGGCCTAAGAGCGCCTTCAGAATGGTCTGGGACAATCATGCCTGTGACCAAAATAAGTTTCTCACATCCTTCTTTATTTTGTATTATAGTAATTATTAAGTATTTGGGAAATAAGTTTATAAATATCACAGGTTCAATGAACAGAGTTGAGCTGTGGATTCAGCCAGGAAAAGCTCTGTGCTGCAGGGAGCTGTGGTCCTGGTACTAGCGGTGTGCCATACCTGCTGCACCCAGACTAGCTTCAGGTACTGCACAACTGCAGCACCCAGAGTTCACGCCTCCACATGCAGAGAGAAAAACCTTGCCACAGCCTGGAAAGATGCCGTTCTTTCCCTTACCTACAACAGAGAGCACCAGCAGGATGCTGCAGATAACGATGGAGACAATGATCGCAGTCTCTCCTCCCCCAAGGTGCAGCATGGCAATTGTGTAGTTGAACTTTCCAACTTGGATCTGAGGAAGGAGACGGAGGCAGGAGAAGCAGGAGCTGAGCAGCAGGTTGCCAAAGGGCTGGGAGCAGGGAGGACACAGGGCAGCCCTCAGCAGACCCTCACCCGAGGGCTCTCCCAGGCTCAGAGGGAGGGAGGCAGGGCTGTGCCAGCCACTGCCAGAGCCCGGGCACTCTGTGCCTCCAGGGAGCCCAATTCCCTTCCTGTGCTCTGGGGAATGCCAAGACCACACCCAGCAGGCTGTGGTGCTGCACTGGTGCCCACCCCAGTGCCAGCACAGGGCTTTGGTGGCAGAACTGCAGGCCCCATGGCCCCACTGCATCTGCCCCAGAAGAGGCAGCCCTTTCCTAGAGAGCCCATGGCACTGTACACGGCTGCCTGTGCTGCTCTTACTAGAAAATCACTTCCACTAATCATCAGCTTCTTTATGGCTCTGAACAGCCTTTGGAGCCCTGCTGCATTCAACCTTCTCCTCCAAAATCAGAACAGCTGCCACCCAGAAGAAGCAGGGTTAAGAAACTTTAAAGTCCTTGAAATACAAATAAACTAAGGGAATAAAAATAAATGAGACCATAGACGAGTAATGATCTTGTGCCTAAAGCAGTGAAAGGGGTGTCAGAAGCTGCTGGCTCTGCTCCCAGCCCGTACTTCTTGTGACAGCAAGCACAAACCACTAGAGCTCAGTCCTTGGATCTCCTGATCTCCAGAAGGGAACAGGCGAGCACACATCACAGGCTGGCAAGTTACTGGGTGCCGTTTACAAACAGCTCTTTGGGCCCTTGGGATGAAAGGATTCCACAGTATCATCTGATAAGGAAAACTCATGACCACACAAGGTTTTCACTTCTGGAAATGTGAGTTTCACTTCTCACAAGGAACGAGAAGTGAGAGAAACTTGAGAAAAAAATCTTTGAAATTAGGTAGGGAAGAGCTCCAGTAATCTTATTAATCAAAATTAATCTTGATTTCCTGTGTCATGGAACATCTCTGGGAAAGGTGCCCACTGGGGTGAAATTCCTGCAGCTACGCCACTGGACCAAGGCCATCCCACAAGCAGGATCTTCCCACCACCTCTACCACCAGACACACAGCTCCATCCTGAGGGAAATCCAACCCTAGCTCTAGGAGCATTGGTGAGGGCATGGCTGCTGCCAGTGGAAGGCTCCAGACATGGAGAGCTTCGGTCTCTACCCTGGTTCGTTGTCCAAGAGCCATGGTGCTGGACAGGGACAGGAGCCACAACACTGCAAGAGCACCTGGGCAGGTTTACTCAGCAGCCTCACAGCCACATGCCCAGACTCAGGATCTCCACTTTCTCCCTCCAAAATGCTGCAGTGAGGCAGCTCCTTTATGTGTTTTGAGTCTTTTCTCCCTCACCAGCTCAGCCTTTTGCATTTTTCAGCGAAAAAAATCCCTCGGCTGCTGTTTAATTCAATGTTTAAACTGTTTGGTCATAAACAAAGACAGGCCTGAATGTCTTGACAAGTCTCTCTCGTGTAGCTGGACAGCCCTACTCAATACTGACTGTGACCCAGGCAAGGCCCCTGCACCAAAGCCATTTCTCATGTGTGATAAAGCAGTGGCCACTCGTGGAATGGCTGGCAGGCAAGGGCCCCAGCCACGCCTGTAGGTTTAGTAGGGGTGCACAGGTATGAATATAAGCAGATTAAGTAGCTGCACTTTCATTGCTAGTGCACTCTGAACACCCTTGTGATATTTAAGGCTGGGTATCACTCTCCTGCTTCCTGGGGACTTGCCATGATTGGTTAATGTCACACCAAGACTAGCAAACTCAAAAATTCCTTTTCTTCCACAAAGGGATTCCCCTGTTTCTCAGTTCTTACAAAAAAAAAAAAAAAAAATTAAAAATTACCCTGTTTAAAATTCCTGTTAAGATGACTCAAGAAATTCTGTTACTTCTCCATTTCCATGTTTCCAGTTTGCAACAGAATTTCATACACCTCAGATTGCTGCCAGTAAACTGGGCAATCCTGTCAGCGAATTGGTAGTGCATTGTGCCTTCCTCCTGGGCAGCCCAGCTCCTGAGCTCACAGCTCCCTCCAGCTCTCCCTGCCCATGCCTCAGGCTCCCATCCATCCCCTGCCAACACACAGCCTGCGAGAGGGCAGCAGGGTGTGCCACGGAGGTGGAGGCATTTTCCCTCCAGATACAAGGAGCCACAGTCACATCCCTGCATGGCCACGGGCCGTGTATGACGTGAGGGAAACTGAGGCAAGCAGAGCAGTTCAGTCCAGCCCTCTGGAAAACAGGACAGTAACAAAGTGTGGTGCATTTGCAGACACAAAGAGAAACGGCAGCCCTGAACACTGAACTCTGCAGCAAGAAAGCAGCAGGCTTTGGAACCCTCCCGGTCATGCCGCAGGGACCCAGCAGGGACAGCTCGGGGAAGGCTGGGCTCTCATGGCCACTCGTAGCCCTTCTGCTGGTGGGAGCAGAGCCGATAGCTTAAAGCTGTAAGGAAATCCCCAAACATATCTCATGAGGAGCAGGAAATCAGTGCAGGTGACAAAACCTCTCATGCCCAAGACCTCAGTGTGCCTTCCAGAGAGCACAGTGCCGGAGCTCCACGAGCAGCTGCTGGTGCCACGGCTCAGAGCAGCCCTCGGCCGGCCCCTGCATCCTGCTGACCGCTGCCCTGCGACAGCACGGCGTGCTTTGGCCACTCTTCCTCTGTGCAGCCTCCTGCACGGTCAGCAGCGGGTGAGCCTGAGCTGGGCAGGCGCTGCACGAGCGGGGTGTGCAGCGGGACCCCTGTGCCCCACAGCTCTGCACTCACTGGGACCCCTGTGCCCCACAGCTCTGCACTCAGCGGGACCCCTGTGCCCCACAGCTCTGCACTCACTGGGACCCCTGTGCCCCACAGCTCTGCACTCAGCGGGACCCCTGTGCCCCACAGCTCTGCACTCAGTGGGACCCCTGTGCCCCACAGCTCTGCACTCACTGGGACCCCTGTGCCCCACAGCTCCACACTCAGCGGGACCCCTGTGCCCCACAGCTCCACACTCAGCACAGCTCTGCACTCACTGGGACCCCTGTGCCCCACAGCTCCACACTCACCGTCACCGGCAGCTGCCTCTCTGAGGAGCTCAGCGACTCGTTGATGGAGCAGTGGATGACTCTGTCTGAAACAATCTGGATCTCACATGAGATCAGGCCGATTTTCACCTGGTATTCATTGCTTTCCAGGCCCAGGCTGTCAGGCTCTTTCTAAAGGCAGAAAAAAAATCAGGATGTCAGGCTGCAGCATAGCAGTTGGAATTGCAATCGATCTTTCTGCTTTACTTTCCATATTCCCTGCTGTTTTGCAGACCTGGGAAGACTCTCCCTCACCAAGGACATTTTTCCAGGACTCCACAGGAAAGCCAAAACCAGGCCATTCCCTATTTTCCTGTTTCCCATTCTTCACTCAGCATGGGGCATAGAATGAACAACCCCTTCATGGAACCTGGAAAAATCTGCTTTTGATCGGACCTGCTGTGCATAGGAGATAAGGATGTAAGCACCCATCTGGGAGGGGGGAAGGATGTACAACGGAGGGGACAGCCAGGGGATGCGCCTGCAAAGCCTGAGAAAGGGGGAGCACATTTCTGGAGCACGCTACAAACCATTAGGATATCCTGCTGCAAACAATGGCCTTTGAATTACTATTGCTCATTGTCCAGGCCAATCAGCTTCTGCACCCCAACTTCCTTGTGAGCTGAGCTGAATTCAGCAGCCGAAAGAGAAGAATGAATGATCTGTTTCTGCAGGAATAAACACCTATTGTCAGGCCCTTCTGCAGCACCTGCCTGGTTTCAGGCCAGGGCATTGTAGTTCTTTTCCACATGTCCAGTATTTCATTTAAGCCCTTGCTACAGCACCCTCCCCAGGCAGCTCTCTGGCATCATGCCTCAGAAGGCATCCCCACACCAGGCTGCATCTCCTGGGGCAGAGAGATGCAGAAGCTGCAGGCTGAGCCAAAATCACCTGCTCCTGCCTCCTGCCTCCCCAGTTCCACCCACCCCCTTCTCTGTGCTGTGTCTGTGGACAGTCCCTGTGCTGGTACTTAGGACCGAGGAGCTGCCCAGGGTGGAGATGGCAGCACCCAGAGAGAAGCAGAGCTGTAACCACCACCCTCTTACATGTATGACCAGAGTTAAGGGCTCGCCAGGATGGTGCTTGATCCACTTCTCCTTCTTGGCTGTGGAGAACTGGGGGTCAGCGTAGTAGCTCAGGCTGAACTTGCTGATGTGCGAGGCCTCCTCGGAGTACATCTCCTCGTCCAGGGCCGAGCGCTCGTCAGAGTAGAGGCGCCCGTTGAGGTAGAAATCAACAGGGGCTGGCTTGCTCCCCACAGTGAGGTTGGAGGCAGCTGGAGAGGGGCAGGTGATGGCCGTGTCCGTGTGCACCTTACAGCGCTGAAAGCAGGAGTGTGAGCGGTCAGAGCCCCGCGCCACGAGCGCTCCAGCCCGTCCTGAGGCTCAGGCCCAGCTGCACAGCTTCTGGCAGCAGGCACGCAGCCCTGCTGCATCCCCGGGCCGTGCCTGGCCAGGACACCCACCGTGTGCTCTCTGCCGATGCCACGGACAGCCATGGACACGTTCTGCACCAGCCCAAAACCTCTTCCTTCCAGGGTGATGATCCTGCCCCCGCTTTGAGAAGGGAAGAAAGAGAGGGTGACTGCAGAGGAAAGTGTAGCAGTGGGATGTGAGGGTTGCATCTTCCTCCTGTCATTTTCTCAGAGGTGTTTCCAAGCCTCCAGAGCAGAAAATGTGACCCAACAGCCAAAGTCTTCTTCCTACTTACAGCAGAAGCAGGAAGCTACCTACACAGCTACCACAATATCATGGAAGAAAGGAAGGAAGGAAGGAAGGGTAGATGCTCTGGGGGAAAGTGGGGAGCCTCTTCCAGCATCAGTGAGCTGTCCCCTTTACTCCCACTGTCCAGAAGAGCAGCCTCTGCATGCCAGGGTATGCAGCAGGCATCCTGGCCACTGGCCATGTAAGTGACCTGTGAAGTGATGGCCAGGACACATCCCCTGCCCTTGCCCCTGCCCCTGCCCTGCAGCAACCCACACAGAACTGTGAGACTTGGAGAGGAAAACGTCCCTCATTCTGCATCTTCCAGGAACTTGTGATTTAGATCAAAATGTGAAAATCGCTGTGTTTTGAATCTGCTTGGGGGGAATGCAACACATGGGCTTCTCACTGTGCAGTCAACTAACAAGAATAATGAGCAGCCCCAATGTGCACAAGGCAGAACAGCAGCAGGAGAACCATCACCACTCATCTGCACCCTAGATCAACCTTCCCCGTATCACATTTGACGTGTTTGGAGTATTTGCCAGGGAACAGGCAACTCGCAAGTCCTGTTATCTGAAGAGCACTCCAGGCACAGTGACTTTGGGCACGAGGCCCCAGGGTTCTCTGAAGCCTGGGGATATCACTAGGAAGTTATGATCCAAGTTTCTCACTAGCCTGTAACATCTACAGACTAATGTACAACTTTTGCATTGGTTTAGGTTTTGGTTATATGGATTATTTTATCAATATGTTAAGAGAAATCAGATCCAGCTAAATTTTTACACAAGTTACTAGCACCTCATGGTCAATAGCCCAGCAGTGTGCTAAGCAGTCAGACTACATGAGCCACGCCAGAGGCCAGAGAGAGCCTACAGTTACCATCCCTGTTCTCTGAAATTTGGGAACGGCTCTAAGTGCCAAGGAAGCAGACTAAGGTGACTGAGAAATACCCCAGTGGTTTCCTTTGTGACTACAGAAAGGACATTCTTCCCTTGTCTCCTTTTAGACACTGCTCTCGCCACTCAGCAGTTGGAAGCCTGCGAGGGGCTGTGCCTGGCTGAGTCATGGCTCTGCCTTTCCCCTAACATTCCCGTAGCCTGCAGCCTTGGCATTGTGCTGGGAACAGAGAGGCAGCTTTGTTCCAAGAGGGACAGGCCACCAGAGCCTGCTCATGCTCGGCCCTGGGCGTGCTGCTTCAGCAATGTCCTGCAGCACAGCTGCTGGCCTCCCAGATTTCCTAGTCAGCCCTGGGATTTTCAGGCTCCACAGGTGAGGAGGGTGGTATTTCACCACTGTATTCAAAGGAACAGAAGTCTGAGAACTCCACGGAGATGTAAAACTAAAAGCAACACACTTTAAAAATTAAATACTGTGACCTTGGGGAAGGTTGAAATCCAAAATTACAAATCTCAACTTATCCTCCAGCAGTTTTACTGCCAAGAAAAGTCCTCAGGGTCTCATAGAGCCCCCACCTGGGCCTCCCCAAAGCACTCACCAGGTGTGCACAATATAGTTACCAAGGCTGACATTTCTCCACTCATAAATGCATCAAAACAAGCTATGGACAGTCCTGGTGTGTGAGACCTCTTCTACTCCCATGCTGGGGTTATCCTGGAGCACCCCAAGAGCAAGATAAGGCACCCTCTACACCCATCCAGCCCAGGGCTGAGAGCTCCTCTCTCCTGGCAGGACCCTCTCCCACCTGGAGCTGACCCTCTCTTTCATGGGCTGTTTCAGCTAGGCAGGATCTCACCTGATCAGGCTCTTTTTGGGGTTGATGTCTGATATAACTGGGTTCTTCTCATACTTGAAAGTGATGTTGTGGCTGGCACAAGACTTGTTCTCGAACTGCACGCAGACTGGCACGGCTGTGGTGAGCTCCACGGCGGGCATGGTGCAGGTGATGGTGCTGTCGGTGCGGCTGCGTGAGGACAGGAGGGGTGAGCTGCAGGGAGCCGCGGGCTGGAGTCTGGCCTGAGCAGCCTGGCAGGCGGGTGGCAGCCGCAGCTGACACGGAGCTCCCAGCCACATGCCAGCTAGCTGCTCCTCCAGGCTGGCAGCTCAGCTGACAGCAGCCGGCGCTGGGCCCATCCCCAGCACACGGAGGGGAAGGGCAGGCGGGGGAGGCCATGCCAGCATGTCGTGGTGCCCCCCATCAAAACCCTCGCTCTGCCTGACTTCTTGGGGGACAGCACCAACCTTCCTAATGCTTTGGCTCTCCTCACTACTCCAGTGCCAGCCCCCAGCCCTGCTCCCACCTGAGGTCCGTGCACTGCTTGGAGGAGTTGATGAGGACACGGAGCTCTGAGCCAACATCCAGCCTGCTGCCTCTGATGGTCACTCTTGTTCCTCCTGCCTTCGGGCCATTCTGAGGAGCTATGGACTGCACCACGGGAAGCTAAAAACAAAGGGGAAATCTGTTTTCTAGCCTGGTAAATCTGCAGCTAGATATTCCACACTGTACATGGAAATTGATTCAGAACTTTGAGTAAGTGTCCAGCACTGTGAGGCTCAAACAGCAGCACAGCAAAAGCTTTTGCTGGCAAGGTTTCAGAAAAAGAGAAGTTATACAAACACTAAGGAGTATGATCATATAAAACCTCTGTGACTCTCAGTGGTCCCTAAATACTGTCTGTAAATGAAACATGGGGCCAAACAGGAGCCCAGAATCCCACCATTCCCTTCAGATTTCCATCAGGATGTCCAGAGCCAGCAACAGCACAAGGTCCATCAATAAAAGGAAATTTCTCACTCATTACCACCCTCACCATCTCAGCCCTTCCAGATCCATGACCTCCAAAATGCAAGGATAATGTTAAAGCCCCACTGGAGGATGGCCTTGAGATCAGTAAAATGGCCACCTGGGTTTAGATAACTGAATACCAGACCACTGCTAAGGAAGCTTGAAATCTGCATCTCTTGAGGCAACAGGAACTGAGGGGGAAGTTACTTTGCCTCTTACCATTTGCAGCTTAAATTAGCATGTATGTTATCTGTGTTTGCAGCCCCTGGATATCTTCCTGAGATTCATGAGCTGGAGGCTTTGATAACTCAGGTGGCGCTGAGCCCTCTTGTCTGCTCACAGGCACCCCAGGAGAGGCTGCTGGCAGCATCCCTGCTCCATTCGAGCAGGACAGCCAGGGCAGAGCAAATCATGATCTCCAGAGCCTTCCATAGGGCACTGGTGACTCCCTCTCAGACAGACCCACGGGGGCTGGCCCCGCTCACCCCCAGCCCATCCCTTGCTCGTGCAGAGCAGACCCTCACAGGCGGGCAGTGGAGTGCAGGCTGAGCCTGCTGTTAATGCCTTGCCTGGCAGTCTTTGCCACACAAACCCTTGCATTAACATCTACCCTGGCCCTTGTCCTACACTCAGATGGCTTCACTCCTCTACTGCCATTTCCTCTGTCAGTCTGATTGTCACCCATTTCCACTGGATCTGTTTTGCTAACTTCTATTTCTCTGTCTGCAGGCAGCTGTCTCCTGGCCTTGGCCCTTAACCCACATATTCATAAGTGCAGCTACAGCATCAGCAGAGAGGATTATTCCTGTTCCCCAAAGCCCTTCCCCTTAGCCAGAGCCAGGGGCTGCTGCTCTTGGTGCACTGCCAGCACCAATCACCTCCATCGCAGCTTTGGCAAATCTAGCTCATCCATAGCCTGCTGTAATGTCCTGAAGAAACATCTCCCTCCTCCTCAGCACAATTACAGCTGAATTTTTCTCTTCTAGCATGTTTAATAGGGACTTCGAGAGATGTAGCACACAAACAATATCTGGTATTTCATGAAGTGCCATCTTTGGAAGGTCAGTTCTGAAAGGCTTTTAAATTTTTCCAGGTAAATTGTACCAGTGCTCAAGCTCAGGTCTCACCAAGACCAGCCTTACATGGAGAGGAGAACCAAGAAAACAAGTGTTGCTTGGTCTGCAAATGGCATGAAAGCTAATTTCAGTGTGACACACCTCCATCATGCAGTGTCCCTCCCCAACATGTGCACAAGGCAGGGCACTCCCTCATATCTGCTCCAAGCTTTGCTAAGACAAACAAGACAGACAGAGATGGCAGACAGACAGACAGCAGTTTTCTACTGTGCCACCCAAGCAGGAACAGCTCCTCTCCCACTCCAGGAAGGAGCTTGCTCCCTAAGCTTGCCCAGGGCTGCCATGGACCCAGGCTGAGGCCAGGGACTGGCTTTGTTCAGCATTGGTGCTTCCACAGGTGTTTCCTGAGAGGCTTTTCCTCGCACGTTAGGAGCTGGTGAAGGAGCTGCTCAGCCCTGCTCCACACACCGGGCCCCTCTCCCCTCTCTCAGCCAGCAGTGCGGGATGTTCCAGCTCAGCACACACATCCTGAGAATCCCCAGACCAAGGGGGCTGTTGGGATGTGAACCTGGACACCTGGAAACTGTGGAAATGGGACCTGGGAACTCCTGCTGAGACTGGCCTGGCAGTGCCATCACCTCACCAGCCTCTCCCCATGCAGTGTCTGGCTGGCTCTGCTGAGTGCTGGGGTGTGCCATGCCTGCGCCGGCTGCGTGCTCTCAACTCCCTGAACTAAACACCCAATCTGTCATTGGCTTCAGGGTGGGAGAATCACACTCCATGATCTGCCCCAAATTCCTCACAAGGACCACCGGGAATCAAAGTGTTTTCTGGGGCTCCAAGTCTCCTCCCAGGCCAGCAACTTGCAGCATGGACTGTCCTGCCCCAGCTGAAGCTGCAGTGCGGGCACAAAGACTCCAAGCACTCCATGTGCCCTCAGCACCCACCCATCACGGCTGCCCATGAATACTGTCCAAGAAGGCTCATGCAGGGAAAAGAAAAATGCATGGATTTCTCTCCAGGTTTATAAAGATGAAAGTTATCTTTGTGGAAAGCACAGCACAAAGTTATAAAGGGCTTTTCATTGCACAATGACATGGGGTTAGCTTCAGTCTAATCCCTACACATTATTTCATGCAAAAACTAATACAATCTCTGCAGCAAAAAAACAGTTCTAAACAATGTGAGTTTATGGAATGTAACTTACACAGCACAAACGGGCTTCACAAGTCTCAAAAAATTTCACAGGTTGCAACAACACTTCAGCAAAAGAGGTAGAAGAAAATGGAGTTCCTTTTTCTAGCGGGAGAATTGTCAATAGAGCTGGGATGAGACAGACCCCTGCAGGAGCTGAGTCTGGGAGTGTGGCCGTGCTGCCAGCATCCTGCTGAGGTCCTGCCACACCCCACACAGGTAACCACAGGTGAGGTGACACCTCAGCAGCTCCTTAAGGACCCCAACATGTCATTGTAGATCCTGTTCCTCAGCCAGCTGGGGAAGGTGTGGGGAGCTGCACACCCCCTTTAAGGGGCACAGGAATCACCAAAGGAACACTCAGGAGACAGCTACTCACCACGTAGGAGTACCGTTCCCTGGACCTCCCTTCCCGGCTCACGTTAACCGTGACCACATCCGAAAACGCCTCCGGAGCCCCTCCGGTCTGGCACACGACTCTGTGGATGGATGAAGCAGGTGGCAGCAGTGCCAGGGGCGAGGGGCAGCAGCAGCTGGGCTCTGCCTGGCCACAGGGACATGCAGGGGTCATGGTCCCTCCTCCGCAGCTCCCCCCACTCACGTCTCGGAGACGACGTATCTGTCGGGCAGCGGGGCGCAGAGCACGCCGCCCACGCGGACGGCGCCCAGGATGTCGCTGAAGCGGCGGCCCAGGTTCCTCCCGCGGATGGTGAGCAGCGTGCCCCCCTCCAGAGGCCCGCGCAGCGGCTCGATCTGCAGCACCAAGGGGCAGGTCATAAAGTCAGAGCATCACAGGATCCCAGAACACTTTGGGTCGGAAGAGACCTCAAAGATCATCTATGATTCATGCCATTGGCAGGGACACCTCCCACTAGACCAGGTCAGGGAGAACCAGGAGCTTCTGCCCTTCATCCCTGAGCCCTGTGAAGCAGACAGAATCACTCCTCACACTCCTGCTTGCCCAACACCAGGATCTCCTTGCTCTGGCTTGGCAGAGGAGAAACCATCATACTTCTCTGCTGTGTTGGGCAGTGGGGTTTAGTCAAGGACCACTTCAGCTGCAAACACATCTGGTAAGAAACATGCTTTCTTCCACACGCCAGTTTTGAACCCACTCCTACACCATCAGTTTCACCTGGCAGCTGCTGCCCTCAGCGCTGTGAGGGGACAGAGTACTGGTCACAACGACATCCCAGTGCTGCGAGAGGACAGGGTACTGGCCATGATTGTGCAGCTGTTGTTTTTCCCTCTAACATGATGAAGACTGGATCCTGTCACTAGCAAGATGTCCTTGGCACCAGGTGACTTGACAGCATAGAAAGTCAGTGAACAATTCAGTGCTGGTCTTGACCCCATCCTGTGTCAGGGACAATGTGCAGATCCTTCCTCTGCTCCAGGCAGCACAGTGCAGCCAGTCCCAGCCCTTGGCACCACCCGCCACCTCACGCCACGCCACACTGCGAGCACCCTGCATGCAGCCTTCGGGCCTTACCTTGCGAATCTCAGGAGGTGGGCAGACTTCAGAGACCTGTGGAGGCTCGGTTTGCAGCCTGCAGCTGGAGCTGGTCTCACTCCAGAGGCAGCGGTGCCCCAGGTCCTCCCTGCCCAAGCACTGGGAGCAGTCGGCACTGCCAGTCGCACAGTTGTACACCTCCACTGAGCCACCAGAGACAAGAGACAATGAGCGCCAGGCCTGAGGCTCTCACAGCTTTGCTTAGCCTAAGGCAGCCCAACACATACAGCCCCCATCTCCCACCACCTGCCCGCTACATTAATCCAGTAAAATCTGAAATCCAGTGGAGGAGCAGAGCAGTCTGCACACACAGCGAGACGAGGTAGCACTTGGCTACCATCCTGCAGACTTCCCAGAAGGCCTGCACGCTTGTTCACACTACAATATAATTTAGCACATTCTTTTCCTTTTTCTCCCCCTCGAAAAACAAGCAACACCCAAACTTGGAACCTTTTGTCAATTAATGCTACGTGTTTCCAACTCTCAGCATCCACATGGGAAGCTACTTGGCAAAGTTGGCTCCATCCTGCCAGGAAAGCAATCACATTGCTTCCACGCTGACAAAAAATGGGGTAGTTTGTGCTTTGTACAGTGTTTACAGTTCTTTCCTTCCCCCTCTGACCACAGACCCCTTTCATTGACTTCTTCTCCCTTCAGATCTGCTCAGCTCAACTTCCATATATTTTTCTTATACTGCCTTCACATCTCCATTAGCTGATGCCCCGGGTTACATTTCCTCTCCAGCCTCAAGACTTCTGCCACTGAAATGTGGGTATCCATGGAGGTAACAGTGAGAAATGCTCAGGAAACATGGCTTTCACACCCTTTTCCCCACAGGAGACTTTTCAGGAGTACATAAAACACAGAAACAGACACATTTGGCACTTCTGCTCATAGGAGCATCTTAAGGCACTTCCTGAGCAACTAATGAGTCCCTCAGCCTCTACGCTCTGCTGTGCTGTGCTAATGAAACTCCATCAGCACCAACGCTCTGCCTGTGCCATGCTAACGAAACATCACTGGTACTGAGGATCTCTCCTATTCTCCACAAAAAAAAGCTTATTCCATGTCATCTGCAGTCTCCCCAGGAGATTACACTGGGTGGTTTTCCAGCCAATAGCAGAGCTTGTACTCCTTCAATGGACTATCAAAACAGAGTGTACAATAAAAGCTAATAAACACTGAAATAATAAACTATAACATCAGTAATTTCATTAAAGACATTTTTTAAAAGATGCCCACGTTTGTCTAGCAGATCTCTGATGCAAGGCAGTCTCTCTAATGTGACTCACACCAGCCTGAGCAAAGTGAGGAGGAGCCAGAGCAGCATAACAGTCCCGTGGGAACTCCAAATATTCTGGCCAATTCCGATGGACGCAAACACAGCCTATGTAAACGAGCTCCTTCTCCATGCAGGAGGAGGGGAATTCCACCACGCTTTTTCTGCTGTGTTTCCTGCTCCCAGCACCACCCACACAGAGAACTGAGTCTTCTACACAGCCAAAACCCCATGTCCCACCCCCCTCCTCAGGGTTACCACTGTATTGCAAAACTATGCCCTCTTCTTTCAGCAGAGAAACCAGATCTCATGCCTGCCTATGCTGGTATCTCCAGGTATTTTCACTTTGCAAGATAATCCTCCTCCATTCACAGGGGTTTATCACGGGGAAACCTTTCTGTCCTGGTCACTGGCTGTTGGTGCTCGTGTCTTTCTCCCTGTCACAGCCATCCTCCAAAGGAGAGCTCTCTTTGGGCTCTCCTCCTCCTCTGCACCTCGGATAAATCAGCCCCTTCTGCCACTGTTGAGAGGCAAAGGAGCTGGGGAATGCTGCCTCCAGCCAGAGCCCTTGGCAAGGGCACTGCCAAACCTCTGGCCATGCAGAGCGTGGCCGCTGCTGTGCCAGCCCTGCTCCGTGGCCAACCCACTGGGCTCGTCCTGCCTGGCTACCGTGACTGAGTCTGACTCATTTCGAGTCTGACTGCCTGCCTTCCTCACTTTGCTGATGTAGCAAGGGCTTTTTTGGGAATCCAGCCCTTCTTCGCAGAGACAGAGAACAGGCCAGGGGTGAAATGTGCTTACACATTTTATTCCTTCTCAGCAGAGGAAGCAAAAAGAAGGACTCAATTTTCACAGCATGTGGAACCTTGATGCCATGCTCCTGTGAGTGCTGAGGGAAGAGCCCTGCCCCATCCCTTCTCTCCCCGGGAGGAATTCCTCTCTAGCCCACATCCCAGCTGTGACTGAGAGCACCAGGTGACCTGAGCCATGCACCTGAGCCATGCACTGCTGACAGGTGAGACCTAAGCTGCACTTCAGGGCAGGGCTTGACTTTGGCTGGCTGTAATAGTGGTGTGTGGGTGCCACTCTGGGCTCTGGGCTCACGTTCATGGGCAGTGACTCTGGGTAAACACACTTTTTGCATGTGCCTGAGAGAAGGAACTGCACTGTGCCCACTGGAGCCATGGTTTCTCCTGCAGCCATAAGCTCTGCCCAGGTTTGAGAGTTGTTCAAGCCAACCAGATGAGAGAAGCATAAAAATATTTTCAACTCAGACCTGTCATCATCCCCGGACTGTCGATAAATCTGTCTGGTTTGTCCTTCAGCTGGAGGTTCACTGGGAAGCGATGGCTTTTCTCTGATGTGTGAAGCTGCACACAAAAAACAAACATAACCTTATGAAATTTAGTAAAATAGGAGGTTACATACACACACCCCTCCCACCATGGATTGACCTTTCTTGTGAGGCTTCTTTGACCACTGCTCCTCAATACACAAGGGTCTTATCCTTAGCAGAAGAAGTGGGACAGCTATTTTGTTTTAATTATTTTGCTGAAGTCCCAGTAAACGGCACCAGGACACAGTGCCTATCGTGAGCAGAGCCCTGGGTTGCTGCTATTTTTAGCAGAAATGGACAGGAAAACCAGCAGCCTGGACTGTCTGCACATTCTCAGTGTGGGGCTGTGATACAGGTGACGTGATGGGAAAGTGCTCTTCCCCAGCTTCCACTTGCAATGTTCCTACTGCTTAAAGCCCAAATGTTTGCTGCATTTTGCAGGTGCAGTTTGCCCTCCAACAACCACACACTGCTTTCCAGTGAGCATCACAACATTTTCTCAGGCCAATTCCTTGTTCAAAATAAAAGCTACAGAAGCAGCAATGCTGAAAAGTGGCCAAATTTTTGTCTGAACGAAACTCTTCCAATTTAGAAAGGTAAACAAGCAGCTCTTTCCCAAGCCCCAGGGGAGCGGGGCCAAAGCCCCTGCAGGTCCCCACGGGGCTGGGAACACAGCACCAGTGACATCTGAGTGCCCTGCCAGCATCAGCACACGCAGAGAGCCCAGAGGGGCGAATGCAGGAGTGAGAGATGACCAGGAGAGAGCAAGTGGTGTCCCCCTGCCAGGTGGGAGGTTGGGGGTAAGACCCTGCCTGCCCTCGGACCTGATCCTCAGCCTGGGGAAGCAGGGCTGGCAGCCTCACCCCTCGACTCACCAGCACATGTACACACTCCACGGCAGAGGAGTTCACCCACCGGGCTTCAAATGTCCCGTCTGTCCCAAAATGGCACTCCAGAGCTGTCCCCTAGAAGAGGGAAGACAAGGGCAGAATGGCTGCAACAACCATTTTGTGCAGTTCTCTGTCTGTCAGTCGGTCAGCAGGGTCCATGTCCCACCTTGATTCTGCCACTGGCACCTGAACTCTGCCCAAGTCAAACAGGAGATCAGTACCCGACACTAAAGGTGCAGACCAGAGCTGTGCCTGGCCCACAGCACACACAGACCAGATGTGCCTGGCGGGGTTCTTGCAACCCCAAGAGCTCCTCTGGGCCAAGGTGTGTAGAATTCATGCTGCAGCACAGACTGGGAGACAGTGTTGTCCCGGGCCACCTTGTCCAAACCAACCTAAACCAGTCGGTCACTTGGGCTCAAAATTACCTTCCTCCTCCTCCTCCTCCCAACAACTACACTGAGCAAATCTCTAATTCAAAAAAGGACAAAACAGGTTCAAAGACAGACTTCTGTGCTGTTTTCCTGATAACGCAAGGATGATATCCTGCACCAAATTATTGCTGTGCCCACATCCTATCTCCAAGCAGTTGATGCTTCACCACTACTGAGGTCTAACTACCCTTTGAAAACCGGCAGATCTGATAAAAGACATGGAAGAAAGCACCAGGCTCCTGGCAGGCAGCTGCTGGCTCAGCAAACACACAGGCAGAACCTTGCCCAGTGTATCACCTACACCCAGGCAGCTCTGGCTCTGCAGCTGCCCATAGCCCTGGCCTCATGTCCCTGCCCCTGCAGTGCCCCTGCCACAGCAAAGGGTTGGGGCTCACGTCTCTGAGGCTCCCGGCTTCAGCAGCACTCATGAGTTCCTCCAGAGAGGGAAGGAGAAGAAATCCTACCCAGCACCCTGGGACAATGAGCAGGAGGTGATGGAAGGAAGCCAGACTGCCAGAGCCTCTCCTGCTGCCCCTTTCCTGCTGACTCCATTTCCTGTGGGTTCCATGCACTATTGCTTCCTCCTCAGCCACCTCCAGCATCCAGACAGGAAGAAGGATTTCTCACCCTGTTTTGCTGATTGCAGAGGTCACAGCCTCCTTCCTGAAGGCTGGAGCTGTGCAGGAAAAGGCCACCCCATCCAGGCACGAGGGTCTGCTCTGCCCCTGTGCTGAGGGCAAGGAGGTGTGGTGGGAGTGGTGCCTCCACGGCCTCTAGCAGCACCCTCCAGCATGCCAGAACAGCTCCACTTCCAAAATTCTCCTCTCCTGAAGAACAAGGAGCCACTTGCTGCCCAGGATGCTGGAATCATCAGCAGGGGCAAGGCAAACCTGGCCCCATGAGCCCTGTTGATCTGATCCAAAATTACTCAGGGCAGCTTTCTACAAACACCAGAGCTTACTCAAGCACTTTCCCAGTGTTCAGCCTCTTTGCCCCAAATTCCTTTGGTTCTTTCTGGCATGCAGCACATCTCCAAAGGCACCATTTGATGTGCACTCCTGCTTTGTGCTGTTAGAATTAACATGTCAGAAAATGTCACAAAAAAATACTTTTTCACATCAAACAAGCCCTGCAGTGATGACCCAAAGGACATTTCCACACCAAATGAGCTCTGCTGTGACAATCGGAAGCTAAACAATGCTTCCATGCTGTACTCAAACACTGTGGCTCAGACAGGGCTCCCTGCCCACCACTCAGAGCTGTGTCCTTTATTCCTCAGCGCAGGCACTGGCGTCAGGCTGGATGTGGGGCTGGGAGAGCTGACACCTGCACGCTCTGTGGTGGAGCAAACACCACAAGGGAACAGGGAGTTTTATTTCCCCCAGACACCTGTCCAGACCTTCCCAATGCCTTTAGGAACTCATTTACCTTAGAGAAAGTTGCATTGGCCAGTGAGATCAGGATGTTCCGAGATACACCCGTGGGCATCGGCTCCAAAGGGGCAGGTACTATTTGAGGACAGTCAATTTTCTTCTGCTAGGTACAAAAATAAGGAAAAAAGGTGTTAGCTGGGTGCATGCTGAGCATCCTTAGCAACAAGGGTAGAGGAACCATCAGAGTCCTTGGTAAGATTAATTTCACTGGAAAATGGGTACTGCCAGGTGCACAGTGACCATGTACCTGCACCTCAGCTGCCACTCTGGCCGTGACAGGGCCAGAATAACTCTGAAAGGAGGCACTGCCACCTCCAATGGCAGATCTACCGGTGTGACCCTCTCCCACCCCCTGTAAGCTGTGTCACACCCGTTGCCTTGCTCACTCCTGCCAGCACCTGCAGAGTCTGTGCTCCAGGGTCTCCGTCCTGCACAGGCTGCGTGTGCAGGGACAGGGTACGAGGAACCACAGGGCCTTCTGTGATGGGGCTGCAGTAGCAGGGCAGCTGCACTGAAAGGCTTAAATGAACTGAAAAATTATTTAAAAAGGTCATCTGTCTCCTTACTTTTGTTCTTGTTTTAAATTGATGTCTCAGACACTGGAGCTGACTCAGAATTCCAGTCTATGTGACAAACCCGTCCTGTTCTCTCATGAGACATAAATCACACAGCAAAACTACAGCAAAAATGAAGCCAGATTGTGCGTGGCCCCAGGGTACATCTAGAGTAATGCCTGTGACAGTGGAGCCATTGGGGTAAAAGACAACAAAATACTTGGTCCATTATGCAGAACCATTTGCAGCAGGCAAGATTTCCTCTCAATTGCATTAAAGGTTATCCTGCTGTGGCTCACTGATGCCAGTACTGCTGCAGCTCCAAGGAGAGGCTAAGCCTGCCCTCCCAGAGCTATGATGCCTGTTCAGACACATCCCTGCAGCCGGACACATCCCTGGGACCGGACATTCAGCAAGGGGGAGGTTTCTCTTCTGCCCTCCCCAGACCTAGATAGGGGTCAGGGAACTACCTGGAACTGCCCATTTGACTGTAGAAAAAACATTCCACTTCTGTCAGGACACTCATCTAACCAAGCACAGTTGGTGCTGCCTAAACAAGGAGATTAAATAACAGAGATGAACATGATAAGGGAAGCAAAACAGCAAAGCAAACAACTGGAGAGAGATTTCAGTCCCAAGCCTCTTCCAAGGAAATAAAAGAGTTAAAATAAAACCAGCACAGCTACAATTTCAAGCAAAATCTCCCCTGGCCTGGTGAGTACTTGCATGTCACCAGAGCTGGCACAGCTTCCCAGAGAAATACACTTTAGAGGACTGATTAAATTGTCATCTTGCAGCCCCTTCTCCTGCTGTTCACCAGCCACCAGAAATAGAGCTTCCAGCTGACTGTATCCTTCACATCTGGATCAGAGGAAACGGGCAGAATGTCCAAGATGCTGCCGATGGAGCTGGTAGGATGCAGCTTTCCCTGCACAGCCATGCTCAGGTGCAGCCGCACCAGCAATGGTTTGTTTACCAAAAGCTCCAACTGCACGATGAAAGCACCGTGTTTCCAGGGCTACAGAGCACCTCTCCTGCTCACAAGATCAGCAGGAGGCACAGAGAGAAAACAAACATGCCCAAGCAGGTCAGCATCCAGCCCCACTGTACCTCTGGAGCAGGAGATCCAAGGAGATAGTTAATCCTTTGCTAATCGAGGACTAACCCAGGGCAGTCCCCAGGGGACCCCACAGCCCTGATGTCACCCAGTGTCACTGCTGAAGCTCACACCCCCAAGTCCCTGGCACGAGCAGCACAGCAGTGCCCAGCAGCACACACAAAGCATGAGCACCCACTGCCCCAACAGCCAGCGTGTGCCAGACCCCTGCAGGGTTCCCCAGGCTCTGGCACAGGACAGACACCCAACAGCAGCAACCATCAGGATGGTTTTCAACTTCCCAGCACCCATCCAGACAGCCAGAGAAAATGCCAGACACTGAAACCTGTGAAGTGGACAAAGGAGAGGATGCTTCCCCAAAACACCTGGGTATGCACAGGCAGGCACAGCTGACCCCAGCACACTGCTGTGCTGCTGGGAGCTGCCACTTGGCAGGGACTTTTCCATCCCCATTTCCTAGGGATTTACAGGATCCTGAGCTGTAAGTGGCCGCTTCAGCCCCACCCCGATGCCCTGCACTCCTCCCAGCTGGAGGGGAGTGATGCCAGAGCTGGCCCTGGGCTCAGCCTGAGAGGGAGGTTGGGACATCTGACACGGGGCCAAGCTCCTCTCGATGATGAGCATGGGGAACACGGGAGACCTGAGTTAAGAGCAGAGGTGCAAAAGGGATATTCCATTTACAGTGTAAAAGCTTGGCTTGGATCTAGAGCAGATTGATTGCTAAAAGGCCCATTTCATTTAAATTAACTTCAATTTAAACTTCAGTAGTAGGAACACTCTGAGCCTCTGGGTATTAAAGCTGCAGTTTGGAAAGGGGCGATTTTCTCCTCTGGGTGAGCACCCTAGTGGTGCCCTAGCACATTTTTAACATAAAGCAACCTCAAGTCAAAGCCAAGGGAATGGTGGAAAATGGCTGTTTCTTCTTCTACTCAAATCCAGGAGGCCGATGTGGAGAAAGAGCGGCATTGCTCCAGGTATGACAAGTCATAGAAAGCCAAGAGATGGAGCCCACAGGAGGCACCAGGACACCTGAATCCCTGAGCCAGCCTCCCCCCAGGCACGGCTCGGCACAGCGCAGCGGCAGGGCACGGTGCTACCCACCCGCACGCACCCCGCTCCTGAACACCAGCTGGGCAGGGTGCCCAACCCCAGCAGGGCACGAGCCACGGCCAGCGAGTGCTGGCCACTGCTGGAGCAGGCTCGGAGCCCGAGCAGCAGCTGAACGAGCCTCACCTCCATCCGCAGCGCATCCTCACACTGCGAGCGGTTGGACACACAGCTGTAGGCGGAGGGGCACCAGTGACACTTCCACCTGGCTGAGAGACAGCTGGTGCACCTGAAATGGCAAAGGCAAGGTGAGGAAAGCAGAGTATAGGTTGCTCAGAGGGGCCACACCTCAGCCCTGCAACCCATCTTCACACTCTTCAGCCTTTAATGGTGCCTAGAAAAACCCACGGCAGGTGCTGGATTTCCCTCTCTTCTCCCTGGGAGCTGGCAGGGGATGTGGCCAGAGCGCATCACCCCCAGGCATCCCTGCCTGGCCAGGCCATGCATGCCAGGCAGACTGAGAGCCACCCTCCCCTGCTTAGCAAAAAATGATTTTCCCCAAAAAAACACTTTCCCCTCATCTGTCTCTCTGAGGAGCCTGGCACGCTGGACCTGAGTAAGAGTCTCTCTGCTGTTTTCACAGACATGGGAGAGCTGGCAGGCCCTGTGGTCAGGTCCTGATGTCATGCTCCTGAGAGGTGGATGCGTTTTGGTGTGTGCCACTAGAGCCCCCTCAAGCTGATGGGGGTATGTGACTGCTCCCACCCAGGGCTGGAAGCAGCAAGAGAGCATGACCCTCCCTTCCCAATGCCCCATGGATTGCTGGGGAGGCCACTTCTGCTGCTGAAGGGTTAACAGAACAAGCTTTATATAAAAATATTATTTAAGCTTATAAGAAATCCAACATGTCCAGATGGCTTGAGGACCCTCCTCTGGCATCACATCTCCCACGATCCTGCCAAATCCTGCCCAGGCCCCCAGCTGCCTGCTCTCAGGAGCTGAGCACCCCCAATAACCCCACACAGGAGGACCCTCGTCCAGCTCTGTGCTGGCACCCTCCTAGCTTCAAACTGCCCCACCACTGTCACCCAGTGCCCCAGTGCCACCCACGCCCTGCCACCACCTGCCCGCGGTGGCTCCGCTGCCTGCACAATGGGGTCACTTACGCTCTCTTCGGGTAAATGTTCCCAATCCTTTTGCAATCATAGATGGTGAAATTGGCCCGGATTATGTTTTTGTTGTTGACCCGGAGAGAAGTTTCGACAACCACGTGGTCTGAGAAAATCAAGCCAAAGAATATTGGGTTGCAACAACCCCTTGCTCACACTCACACTCAGTAGACAAGAGAGACCCTTGGGAAAACAAGGGCTAAATATGATTTGTTTTCTCTAGGGCTTCCTCTGAGCTGCATTTCAGAACTTGGACCAGTCATCCTTTCTCCTCTGACATTCAGCTCTTCCCTCTTAAATCAGCACTTTACATTACTCTCGCAAAAAAGAACATGGGGACTTTCAGCACAAAATTCCAGCATGTTATGCAAGTGTTAATTAGCAGATTTAATTATTCTCTTCAAGTACAGTTGGTGCTAAACTATAATTTTTAAAATGTGGTAATTAAAACATGTTAGTTATCATGTTTTAAAATCCCGCTCACTTTCCCTGTGCCAACAAACCTGCAGAGAGCGGAAATCCTCTTTTGGCTGGGCAACACACCAGACTACCTTCCCTCCCCCCAAAATTGCCTATTTTTTTTTTCTTTGCAATTTTGCCATATAAGCACCAGGGAGAAGAAACAATGCTTCTTTCAGAATACAGACAATAAATCAGTGCACTGGATTCCAGAAATTCATTTGGACATTGCTGAAACCAACAATACAGAGCAGTTAATGATCTCCCATTCTTTGGATAGTTTGGGAGGAAAGCAATGCAACTTTACAAATGAGACTAGGAAAAGTGGAATTTTAAAAGGACTAGCTAATTCTCCCCCTGCTGAAGTCAGCCATCTTCAATAGCACATTCACTCCAGGCTTGAAGGATGAAAACTCTACAAGTGCTTAAGTCTGGACTAAAGCATCAGACTTCTCCAAAGGCACTGAGAGGGGCTGACCGCCTCGCTAAGTGGCCAGTTCAGATCTGGTCAGCTCAGCCAGCAGCTCAGCTGACTTCAGCCTCATGCACAGGCGCTCATCTCCTCTGGAGGCAGCCCGTGGAGCCTCGAGGCAGGCTGCCCCTCTGGCACCATCGGAAAGCAGGAGACACTGGACACCTCTGGTTGGCTTTTGATTGCAAAATGGGGCTAAGAGTTCCTGAGCTCCTTTAGGCACCCACTCGCTCTTCCTCCAGAACTTCTCCTGAAAGGCAGCATGTGTTTTGGAGGGAAATTAAACAAAGCAATTGAAAATATCAATATAAAAAAACGACTTTATTTGCCCAGGGCTAAAATGTTTTTGGCTTAGTACATACTAAATCAAACCAGATAAAAATAAGTACATGAACTGGCATTTAAGTTCTGACGTTTAAAACAAAAATTGATAAATTTGAAATACTATCAATTCATGTAAAGATGGTGGAACTCCTATGCTTCAGAGTCATGTGCCCTATAAAACAGACACAGCTTTGGTCTTTTCTCCCCTGTAAGTGTTAACTGCACATAAAACTGAAAAAATAAATAAAGCCTATTAAAAACTATGTCCACAAAAGTGGTTAGAAGGAACACAGATTGTTTGCCTCTACATACCTTGGTCATCAGGAAATGCTGGATATTTCTCATGTGGAAGCAAACTGCAATAAATAAATTGGTTTACATAATCCCCAGCAACTCTGGCTACTGTGTAGATATTGTTTCCATAGTCACATGAAATATTTGTTCCATTCAGGTTCGGGATAGTTCCATTTATTTGTATTATCAGGGCCTATATTAGACAAAAAAGTCAGCTATTATCACAGAAAATTATATTTCTAAATTGTCGACATTTTAGATGCTTTTCAGAGGTAGGCAACTCCAAAACAAGCCCACAGACAGGGTCTATCTTGAAACAAATAATACTTTGATAAAAATTGTTAAAATAGAATTAAAATACTTTAAAATAGCAACAGTACAAAACCAGGAAATGAGTTGATTCAGCTGTCTTCAGCTGATTGTGTTTGAAATGTTGCGACCGTGTGTTTGGTGTGTGTTTGGTGCAGCAGCTCTGGGTGGTTTCTGCCTTAGGCTCAGCTCTGGGTGCTGTTTTCGTACAGACTTGGCATCCAGCCGGTTCAGGCTCTGGGTGCAGCAGGTCACCCCCAGCTCCCCGAGAGCCTTGGCCTAATGCAGCAGCATGCAGCAGAGCTCAGCATCCCCCTGACCCACATCCAAGCCACGAGGAGCTGTGCTGCTCCACCCTGGGAGCAGGCAGTGGCTCTATGGACCCTGCAGGAGATTGATTTGCAATTGGCAGCAAACTCACCGGGTTCTCTTTGTCAATATTGATCTCAGGCTCCAGGATGGTCATGGAAGGGCACTGCTGCACTCCTTCACTCACACTCGCCCAGAAGTTGGCCCCTGTGAAGTTGGTGCACTCGTGCTGCAGAGAGCACCTGCAACAAACAGAGGAACAGCTCGTGGTTGATGAGTTTTAAAACAGGTAATAAAAATGTTGAATTGCTTGTGAGGGAAGCTCCTGAGAAAATCTTATGTCTGTATCTTTCTCCTTCATCCATGCAGCTAAGCCTTAACATTTGCTGCTATGTTTTAAGTGTCTGCTTGCCATGATAAAAACACGAACTCCCACAGCACCAGTGGAACAGCAGAATTGAGGAAGGCAGGAAAAGGCCAGGCTGAACACAAACTCAGGAGGAGAGAATGACATTTTGTCCGGCATCTTCAGTTTGCAAATGTGGAATCTAATTTTGAATATCCCCTTTTGCATGTGATTGTCTTCTGCTGGTGGATGAGATCTGCAGGGGCAAAACATGGACTTTCACAGGGTGTGGGTTCTCCCTGTTTCAAAGTTTGACACCTGCAAGAGATTCTTTGCACTGGTAGCTGCCTGTGGCAGGACAACACAGCTATGGTGAAATCTTGGCTCGGAAGAACATCCCAACCCTTTGGGCCAGATGCAATAGTTTCTAACAGTATTTTGTAAGGAATGGAAAAAGCCTGTTGGTAGTGTGACTGTGGGGAAATACAGAAGGTGCCAGAAATTCTTGCCCAGGCTAGAGGGCCAAAGGACACGCTGAAGCGTGCCAGGACGTGGCTGGTCCTACCTGGTCTCCATCGTGCACCACCCGCAGTAGGCGTCAGCGGCAGCCAGGCACTCCGTGCACGTCGAGTACTGGCTGCAGGCAGCCACCTTCACCCGTGTCATCTGCACAACAAGAGCACAGCTGCTTCCAAACGTGGCACAGCCCCACGGGAACACCCGCCCGGCCGGGACGCAGCAGCACGGCTACGTGCAGCTGGAGACAAGACACCAGCGCCTCGGGCTGCGACACCCTTCCCCTGGAGGAAACTCACCCAGCACGCCACAGGAGCAATTCCTGGCATGGCTTGGAAGCTGGAGCTGTGCCATGGCCACCTGGCATGGGGATGAGCCCAAGAAGTCACCTGCTGCCCACTGGGGGCCCCTGGAGCCTCTCCAAGCCAGGGGCCGCAAGCCGCTAGGGCTCGGGAAACCACAGGGTTTGCAGCCAGCTGAGCTGAGCTGAGCTAGGCTGGGCTGAACTAGGCTGGGTTGACCTGCTCCTTTTCAGCTGGTGCCATGGCAGCAGCCATGTGAGACCAGGTTACAGAATGTGACACTGCACCTTCCAGAGGAGTCAGATGGACATAGCTTCACAGCTTGTCCCTCTCTGTGTAAAGCTCTCACCCAGACCTGCAGAAAGCTCCTCTCCAGACAGAGCCCAGCACTCTCTGGCTGTTTACACAAAGATCAGAAAGCAGCACCACTTTAGAAACCTTGATTTGTGAAAAAATCAAAGTACCTCTGGGGACTCACTTGGCAGGAGCAGTTGGAAGGGAAAGCATGTGTCGGTTTCTGCTCTCTCCTCCTTTGATCTCTAAACATTTGGGAAGGAAACCTGAGTGGTTTGGAACAGTGGGGACTGAAAATGCGAGGTGCTAAGAGCCCTGAGCTCTCCCCAGGCAAGCACACTCCAGGCTGTAGGCTCCTTGGCCAGAGCCCCACTTCACTCACAGCACCTCACTGCTCCCCCAGCCCTGCGGGGCTCAGCAGCCCCACCCCAACCCTGTCAACTCCTGGGGAGCTTCCCAGGACACTAACTCCACCAAAGGAAAACTAACTCATCAGATTTATTGGAAAAGAAGCAGTCAGAGGAGGCACCATGAGCACCACACCAGTTGTTTGATCAGCCCGAGCAGAGGGCACAGCCCAGCCAGGGGCTGAGATCAGACAGTCAGAGCCATCAGCTGAAGAGGCTTCCTGGAAGGGGTCTGTGAAATGATAATGACCAATCTGCAGGGAATTAGAGCTCGAAAAATACAAATGCAACATGCAATATTTGGGGTTGTACATATGTTTTGACAGATTAAAATGTAATTCAGGACAAACCCTCAGTGCCTGGAGTGCTCAGCTATCATCTTCCTACTCTGCTAACTTGATGGAGATGGGACCACCTGTCTGTATCTGCTGTGATTCTCCAGGTCTCTGCAGAGCCCTGCTGCCAAGCACTGAGCAGAAGCCTCCCCAGGAACCACTTCTGACAGGCAGGCTTTTTGTCTGTAGGATCTCCTGAAAGCCTCCCTAAAGACCATGTACTGTCATTTTGGGGTTTCTGTACAGGAACAACCTTTCCTTATTTCTGTGCTTATTTCTGCACTGCCATAAGTGCAATTGTATTCAGTATCTTTCACTCTTCTTTTTACCTGACCACCACAAAGACCTGATAAGCTGGGCTGCGTGGTGTTATCACCCAGCACAGGAGAAGGGACCCGCACCTCCCCAGAAAGCCAGTGACAGCCAAAGCTCTGAACATCTTGGCTCTCACCATTAAAGAAAATCTTATCGTCTATTTTTGCTCCCAGCTCTGAGCTAAACCACATGCATGCTGTGCTCCAAGAACTGTTTTGTTGAGGACTGGAGATCTCACCTGGTAAGAGGTCATCAGGTAGAGGTAAGTGGAATCAGAAGGGTCAAATTGCATGATGGGATGGACAGGCTCTCCATAAGCCACCAAAATGGATCTCCTGCTAATAACTTTCATCGTACTGTCCAGGTTTATCTGTAGAGAGAAGAGGCCACTCACTGAGACTATTTTCAAATACTAAGGGGGAGTAGATTATTTCTCCTTGGGTATAAATAAAAACCAGAGTGGTATTCAGTGGTGCCCTAAGTTGTTAAGCACGTTGCAGGCTGCACACACAGAGCTTTCCTGGAAATTCAGCTTTGTGTCACTGGGCAGGCACGGCATGGCCCAGAAAGCCCCAGCCCTGCTCAGTGATGCAGGACCCTCACTGTCCCTGTCCCTCTGAGGGGCTGCCTCTGGAAAGTGTCTGATTGGAGGCTCTATCCCTGCACAGCTTCACCCAGCAGGCACAGCAGCATTTGTGTTACCCTCATGCAAGTGGCACCAGCCTTCAGGCCTCATCACATACATTCTGTATTCATACGCACATTCTGTACAGAGAACACTGAGTTTCCAAAACTTAATGAAAAACAGTGAAAATCAGCAACAGAGCTGTACAGCATGGCATCTCCTGCTCCCTGCATATTTGAAAAATAAGTGTTGCCACTCCCAGCCAGAAGAAGCTTCTATCCCTGCTGACTCCAGAGGACCACGGCAGCTGCCACAGGAGTGTCAAGTCCTACCTTGCCTCATGAATCACCAACAGAAATGCTGGCAGTGATGGAGAAGGCTGTAGAGCATCAGCCTGCCTTTCAGTTCTCTGAATGTCTTGGCATTTGACTTGAAAATTCAGTAAATTAAATGTGGCATTGCTGAGAGGAAATAACAATGGGGCTACACAATTTCTCGTGACAGTCAGTTTTCAGCTTAAAACAGAAAGGGAGTGAGGAAAATTCTGGCCTTACTAGCAAAGGAAGGCAATAATTGTAATGACCAAGTGCGCCTCTGTTCTCTAAATGTGGATTAAATAATTAAGATAGGTTAATTAATTCTTACACTAGAGCAGCACTGACACACCCCAGCATGACAGCACAGGCTCAGGCTTCTCTCTGCTAAGAAACACAGCATAGAGAGCTATGCAAAAAAAGGGTACTATCACTGTATCCACTTTAGAAGCTGGCTAGCCAGAAGCTAAATTATTTCCCTGGGATCACCCAAGATGTCGATGAACTGAGCCCTGACATTGTCCACTGCATCCCCTCTCCCTCACAGCTGAGATGTGCTCCTCGTGGATGCTTACAGACACCCGTGTCTGGCTCCCTCTGCGCCCCGGGCAGGTTCAGCCTACACCCTCTTCACACAGGCAATTTCCCTGGATTCCAGGGGCTGCAGGCGCTGGGGGAGAGCCCCACAGCAGCACAGAGGGGCAGCGACCACCAGTCCTGGTGCAGCAGGGGAGCAGGCTGGGTGGGCTGGAGGATACACACTGCCCTGGGTGCTGGTGGGAGCAGAGCGAGTGAAGTCCTGGGTAACCCCACCACAGCACTTGTCTGCGGCCTTCCACATCTGCACACATCAGGACAGACCCCTCCCTCCCACCACATCTGCACACATCAGGACAGACCCCTCCCTCCCACCACATCTGCACACATCAGGACAGACCCCTCCCTCCCACCACATCTGCACACATCAGGACAGACCCCTCCCTCCCACCGCTACCCTTGAGGGCATCGCAGCCTGGCATGCCTTGCCCAAGCACTGCTGACCCTCTCATGACGGCCAGACGTGGTCATGGTCCTCGCCAGATGCCCGTCTGCAGCCACAGAATTGCATTAATTCGCCATACATGCCCCTGGTAGCCCTAACTGCTGCTGGCAGGAGCTGGGCAAGCACTATTTCTGCCCCTCTGCTGGCTTCTCCCAGGCAACAAATCTGAATGATTTGCTCAAGCAAAGTACCTTGTGCCCCGTGCCAAAGAGCAAGGAGCCCCAAAGGTAGAAGGGCTTCTGGTTATGCAGCTGTGTTGTGGAATTAGATTACAGCTATCTGAGCAAATTATCCCAGCGCAGGGTAGCCAGGAGCCGCTCCCTAATGGAGGCACTGCAGATAAGGCTGGTCTCTCTGAGATGATAATGGAGCAGAGCTGTTAATGCCGTGTGAACAGGCTGCTCTGCGTGTGGCATGTGCCCCCCAGCCCCTGTGCCTGGCCCAAGGCCAGCTCTCTCCCCCTCACAAATTACCTGCCCCTGTGGGCAAAAATCAAAGCAGGGAGCCTCTTTGTGATTGTTCCCACATTTCTGCCAGGAGCACTGAGATGCAAGGGAAGAGACTGTGTAAGTTTTCTTCTATCCAAGTATTTTGATCCAGTATCCCACCTTATGCATCAGTCCCCCCAGGCAGAGATAAAGCAGGTATCAGCTGTCTCTGCTCCAGGCCTTTTCCCCCTCTTCTCAATGGACTTCTGATACTGGCAGTTTACCAGACTGCTGTGGCTGCCTGGAATCAAAACTTTCTCTGGCAAACTTCAAGCACTAAGGTTACTGAGAGCTTGGCCTTGTGTCCTGGCTGCAGAGCTGGGGCATTGCATCACCCTGCATCACCTCTTACATGTTATTTAGAACAGACTCCACCATGGGTTCACACCTGCTTTGGATTCAGCTGTGAAGAAGAATCTCTTTGTGATTCCCCTGTGTACATAAAATAGTGTAATAAAATTAATTAATAATTCAATGCTGCACAATAGCATTTTCAGCTTAGGGTTTATCAAAAACATCCTGCTCCCACGGCAGCCCTGAGCAGTGATTAACAGCCACAGTCATCAGGCAGCATGTATCACTGTCCAGGCTCTGGCAGTACCCAAGGACTTTTTCATGGCCTGAAGGGAGCAGGCGCTCAAACCAAGTAGACAGGAGACGTCATCCTCCGGGCAGAGCAGAGGTGCTGGAAGGGGGAGCCCCGACACCCAGCCTGTCCCCAGCTCTGCTGCCCCACGCTGCTCTGCTGGGCCCCACTTGCCTTCAGGAGTCCTCCGCTGGCCGTGCCCAGGAACACGACGGTGTAGTTGTTGACACTGGCCACTGCCACTGCAGTCAGGCCGCTGTGGGTGAAGATGGGGGTGGCTGTGACGGGGTTCACGATGGCCAGTGGGTGCTGAAGGTGAGCGGCTCCACAGTCCAGCTGCTCCGGCTGCAGCTGGGGAGAGACACAAATATCAACAGGCTGCAGGAACACCGGGGTGCTCCCTTGCCACCCCCCTCAGGAGCAGTGGGGACAGAGCTCTCAGAGCCCTGCTCTGCCTTCCTGGAGCCCCTCACTGCTGAGCCACGGAACAGGAAAATGCAACTGGCCCTGGCTGCTGAGCTGACCTGCAAGGCTGGCACGTGGGGCACAAGGCTGATAGCAGGGCTTCCACTGTCAGGTGCCAAGGGGCAAAGGCAGTGGCTAAGAACTTCTCATTGACCTGTGTCTATGAGGAGGCATTCCACTTGTTTGGCCGAAAGCAAGACAACAGACTTGACTCTCCTGTGCTAAATTAATTAGCATGACAGCAGCATTTGCAAGTGGAACTGATGCCTCATATTCCTAGTACCCTGCCAAGATGCACCCAAGATTTATGAGCCCCTCACTCCAAATCCTCTGAGATTCTCATGTTATTTCTGCTCAGACAACTTGGATGGATTCGACAATGCTTGAACATCACAGCAGTCTCACTGCCAACAATTCACCTGCAGTCACTCCTGCAGCAGCTTTTGTCAGCTGCAGCAGGTGCAGCTGGAGCCCTTCAAATGACGAGCAGGTTTCAAGGGCCATTTCCAAATCATTCACAGTGTCACCCCAGGTTTAGCCTAGGGGAGGCTGTGACCCCACTGCCACACTCCTCGGCAGGGCTGACATTCCAGCAGCAGCAGGTATCCATCCACAGGTCACCTGCATACAATCCAACCTCCAGTTGTGGGAAGTGCCTGTACAAAATTCCAGCAAGAGATGCCTGCAGGGTTGCATCCCACACCCCAGGGACAACGCACATTTATGGCTTTCTGAATCCAGTCATAAAGCAGATAGCACTGCACTGCCACAGAAGCTGACAGAATTCTGAATTTAGGCAGAATAAATGCAGGGATTTGAGGCTGTATCTGTCAGGGAATTGGAATGCAGTTTCCACCAGGCAGAAGGTGACCACCAGCCTGTTCAGCACAGTCCTTCCTCTCTGGGCTACACCAGGGCCCGGATGCTAATTCCCTAGTCATCTTCACTATTTCATTAATGGAACCAGGCTAAAGCTTCGGCTCTCTCCTCTCTTCAGACAGTTCAGAAGATTAAGCAAATCTTTAGGCTTTGCAACAGGAGGGTGAGACTCGGCAGGGTCTCTCTGCAGGGTCATCCCACTTTGGGGTGCAACTCTTGCCTCATGCCCATCTGCCCCCAAGCCACCATGTGTCTTGGATTGGTGCCACACCACACCAACACATTCCCGGGCAGAAGTGGGGCTAGAAACATGCTAAAACCCAAAAGGAATGCAAAGTGATGGGGCTTTGTACGCATAAGCAAGAGATGGTGTACCCCCAGACAGACGCCCACAGGAGGTTGGCGACCTCCCTGCCATGGCCACGACTGGTGCAGGGAGCAGTCAGCATGGGGACTGCAGGTCATGGCACTGCCCTCTCCAACATGGCTGGGCCTTCTCCAACAAACCACCCTGACCTTGGTCCCCTGTGCCCCACCAGACCCCATCACTGCCTGCGCCAGACACGCACTAACAAAGCCTGATACGAAAAACTTCCTATGCTCAGATGAGTGACAAATGAGGCAGCACATTTAAAGTTGTACCTCTGTTCTTAGGGGATCAAGACGAAAGGATCAAGTTTGTGGATGCAGTGCTAAATGCATTTTGCAGTTTTACTGCATTTCATTCTAGTAAAAAGTAAAATCACAGCCTAAATTCTTAAATGTGTATGTTTTCTATGTTTTCTCTGTAACTGCTCCACACAACTTTTTTTATACTATACAGAGGACATGGCAAGCCATTCATGTTTCTGACTTAATGATTCCTTCCCTTCCCAAACAGCTATTTAGAAATTCACTTGGGGTTATTTACTTGTCTTAGGGATGATTATCTCTAGCTCTTCTTCATCACTCTTTAAGTATATCACCACCTGAAGCTTACAAGGCTCTTTCCTGCAGGGAAACTGAGGCACAGAGGCACCTCCAGCCATCTGGGACCCCAAGGGATGTTCAGCACCTCCTCCCTATGGCAGCTGTGCAGGAGCTGGGACCAGCATCGCTGCCTGCCAGCCTGAAAGACATGGCCCTTTCTTCTCACAGGTGGCCAAAATCACGGGAAGTCCCTTATCTGCAGCGCCTGCCGGCTTATAAATCACGCATTTCAGAGCTCATATCAGCACAAAGTGTTTTCCATAGTAAACAGGATGTAACTATTCTAACCCAGGCCAAGCTTTATTTTGGCTGTACACATCCTTCCTCTGAAACACCTTTCTTCAAATGACATCAGATCTTCCAACAAACGGATGGGAAGGCGACATATGGTATTTCCCTCTTCAGGGTCCAAAGAAGGGATGACATGCTGTGCTGCTGCTACCCGTACCCCACGGCACCAAGAGGACAGCTAACTCCATCGTAAACAGGATACAGCCAAGTCACATCCTTCTGCAGGCACCAGGCAGCCACCACAGCTGGGGAATTGCTCTGGATGAATGTAATAGAAGGCCGTCTACAAGTGGAAGGGGTTAAATCTCACTCTTTAAATCAAGCTGCCCCATACTGAAGTGGGAAAAGAACAAATGCTAAGTTTTCTTCCAAAACCAATCTCTTTCTATAATCTGCATTTTAAAACACCCCGTGGGCATTTACTGTATTGCCTCTATTTTTCTTTGACACGCTCTGAGTACTCAGTAACTCACAGAACTGTGCGCTGATTCTAGATCCAAAACCTCCTGCCCACAAAATGTTTGACTGCTGCTCTGTCGCTGATGAGGAGCCTCTTGGGCACAAGCTGGGGACAGCCACGGCGAGCAGCAGCTGAGCAGCTCTGCCCATGCCCTGCCAGGACGCTGCTGTGCCCCTGCACACTGCAATTGGTGCTATTGCTGCAAAACTTCACAAGTGATGCAAATGAATTCCAATCAAGGGGCCACAGCTAAGAGGATGGTTACTCAGATTAACCCTTGAGTGCGATTGCAGAAACAAAATGGGACAGAGATAAAAGATTTCCAGCCACATCAGAGCTCAAGAGTTCAGCTGTCTTCACAGTGTGAGTTCAGTTCTTTATCCCAGACCTATAAGGAGCATAAAAAGTGATTTCCCAGAATTTCCATTACAGCTCTCCAGCCCTGGGCATGCAGGATGTCCCTTCGGGAAGGAAGTCTGTTGGAAACAGAAGGAGGAAGAGGAGTGGTGAGGCAGCTCTCAGGAAAACCATGAAATGCGCTGATTTCTGCATCCTGTGTTTGTGACCTTAAAAATAGTTCTCAAGCAAAGCTGGAGCTAATTTGTGAGTCAGAAGCGGCGGCGCAGAGGAAAGCCCTGAGCCCCTGCCCTCCACGAGGCCATGCTGGCTGCAGCAGCTCCAGAGCTACGGAGTGAGAAGGGGAGCCCAGCCCCTTTCAGACTTCATATCAGAGAGGATTAAAGTGTTGGCTTCCAGCATGCCTGGAGTCCTGGGAAAATGACACAGCCAGCATCGGATAATCCGCTCCAAACTTGTTGATTTGTGGGACTTAGCCATCATCTTCATAGGCTCAAAATTTGGCAGCTGCTCCCACACAACTGACATTTTCAGGCCATTAAAGGTTGTGATAAAAGGGCTCTAGTTTTATCTCTTGCCTTCCTTAACTTAAACCATTAGGCTTTTATTAATATTTGGGTATGACTCAGGGAAATTTCTGACTGCAGAGAGAATATTCAGAATAATTAGGATACTGTCTGAAGAGAATAGCAGGACACAAACTTGCACTGAACAGTAGGGACAGGCTAAAAACCAGTGGGGAAATATTGCACAGGAGAATGGACACAGCCAGCGATGCCAAGTCAGCCTGGCTGCATCATGCTAAGGAAGAGTACAAGCCCTGCTCTGTGTTGGGCAGAGCCCAGACCAACCACACATCCCCAGCATTCCCCCCTCGTCCCCCAGCAGTTTGTACACACAATCACTCATTTATCTGCTGCAGTGTCGCAACCAGACCTGTCAAAACCAGGCTTTTTGGGATGCCTGGAGGAAAATGTCATCTCAGAAGAGGACTCCACTGTTGAGGCACTTGAGATGTAAGCAGTCTCCAGCTGCAGTGATGCTCAAGGGCAGGCAATAGCACAGAGCTCCTCAGAGCTCATACTTTTTAGGCAACGGGAGGCAAATCAATGTGCACTTGTGGCCAGTCAAGGCACTCAGGTTGAGAATCTCTGGCAAAATGAATCTGGACAATTTTTTCTCAAGAATTACCAACAGTACAGTATCCACACGGCACAGCAGACATTCTTAAAACAAACAAACAAACAAACAAAACCCCAAACCAAAACAAATCAAAAACACAAACAAACAAACAAAAAAAACAAAGAACAAAACAAAACAAAAAAAAAAACCAAACCAAAAAAAACCCAAACCAAAAAACAGCTTCAAGTGAGACTTGCACTCTGGTTTCACTGTTTGCTTAGGCCACAAGTTCCTCAAGCAAGGAGGTGGGGGTTTTGTTGAGTTTTGCCCTTTGCACAATGCCAGCCCTGGGCTAGGGCAGTTTGCAAGTCACTAATGTGACATCAGTAATGGTTTATCTAAACATCCCTCTGCTCCCTGCAGCCACCTAGACCTTGTGCCTGCAGGGAGCTATCACTCTTAGAAAACTCATTCTTCCCTCTCTCTCCTCTTGACTCCAAACTTTTCTTTCTGACAGCTCCTAAATTTCACTCTTGGCAGCCTCACATGGGACTGGTGGCTGAGGTAAGGAAGGGGACAGAGCACAGAGAACTGCCAGAAGGCAAGTCACAGCAAGCACAGGACTGATGGCTGGAGAAAGGCACAGCTGGGTCAGGCCAAAGCACTGCAACTCAGCAGCAGCAGCCACGCTCACCTCCACCGCAGCCACAGACCTCCAACGCAGCCACAGACCTCCAACCACCAGAGGTGTGAGAGTGTGAATGCTGGAAGAGGCTCTCAGCATCCTAAATCATCTCAGAGGGCAAAA